GGACTTGTATGGACAAGGTGTGGCAGGCAGCTGTAGGGCTTTCCGTATTACCATTCCTTGTTGCCTGCTCTGCCCTGTTGCAGGAATTTATTGCCCTTATAACCATATTTTACCTGTTTCTGCTCTTACTCCCCTTGGGGGAGTTCTTGGCGCCAGTGGTGCTCAATGAGACATGGCAGCATTTCCTTCCTGCCAGCCGTTTTGGCAAAGGCTTAGAGGAGACAGTCACAGTAGTCACTGCCACAGCTGGATTCACTGGAGGTTACTTGTCAAGCCCTTACATGCAAAATATCGATTCTGATCTGTTCTGTTTGCATTTTGTTATTTTTTTGTGACATACAGACGTTTGCCTGTTCTGCTTTACCCCGTGGGAAGAGAGAGCACAACCTCGCTGTAGAACCAGCACAGCAATTAGGCCGTGTTCCTCTTGCCATAGTGCTCTTCCCCTGATGCTGGCCCAAATCAGATATTTGTAGAACTGGAAGAGAATTTTTTTTCCCCCTGTTTTCTGTATAATTTCTGTGGGGTTTTATGTATAATACACTTTCTTTTCATCGTGTATTGCTGTTATCTTTAAAGAAAAAATAGAAAATAAAAGTATTTTCAGGGGTTCATCTTGAATTCATTTTTGAAAATACTTCAGTATTTGAAGAGTTTGTCATCTTCAGCAATGACTTGGTATGTCATGGGGTGCAGGCAATGTTATTCACTGTTTTAATCACAGAAATGGCCATGAAATATTTTTTCTGTTTCTTGAGGTTTTTTTAAATTTCTCTACTATTACCACACAATTATTTTTTTTCCAGTTTTATTTTGATTATTAACATTTTTGAGGTTCTAGCATTTCATGGAGGCTGCTAGATTTCCAATGCATCATCTGGTGAAGTTTTCTTAAAACAAAAAGGCTTATCATTTTACAGCCCTTAAAGTCAGGAGGGCTTTGCTATCGAGTTCTCTGCTGCGATGGCCCTTCTTTCTCTGCGTTGAGGTTGTTCTCCTAGAACATCACCTGTGTGCAAAGGCAGCCAGGTCTGTGCCCACCAGTGTGGGGCACAGGCAGGTGCCTGGTATCTGCCTGCCATCTCATCGTGTAAATCCACCTTCACATTGTTTGGTCTACCGCAAGTTGCTGCTACTCTGTAATTTGCTTCCCCCTTTCTAATTTGGTACACATTTGTTAACAGAATTATCCTTCTGTGTGACTCTTTGACCACTTTCAAATCGATAGAAATTAAACTTTCCAGTAAGGTTTTACGATGGTAGGGAGGTGTTCTATGAAAACCCAAACAAACCCAGCCTGACACCTCCACCTCAGTGCACTGGGCTGTAAGGAATGCAGTTGGCTTGTCATGCAGAAGGTATTTCTGGAAGCGGTCTTGCTTACTGTTCCTTTATCTCTTATTACATTTTTCTTCTATTTCTTATCATATAACTTGAAGCCATCAATGATTCCAAAAGAAAAGCACAAACTATTTTTTCTTTGTCTGCAGAACAAAGAGGTTTTGCATAACTTCTTGACTGCTGCTTCAGCAACCAAGTTTTGAGGTTATTCCTTCTGCTTTTCTGAGGAATCTCCCCAGCCCCAGGTCAGCTGCTGAGAGCACTTGACTATGCATTTTGTAATTTCTTTGATGGTTTAATTTCTTTCAGTTGTTCACTGTCATCATCAGCAATCCCTTAGGGTTTAGTTTGCAGATGAGGTTAACTAAAACCGATGTTTTCTGAGCCAGATAAACTGATGGAATCCTGTGGATGGATGAAAATTGCCATACGGTATCTTAAACCTGGTTTAAATGATTTAAATAAAAATATTTTTAGTTTCCAGCCTCTTACTGAGTTTTATCACAATCAGGTTAGCTTGCTTGTACCTCGTTTTTAAACATGGCTGACGTGACCTGAGCTGAACAGCTTTATCACACTGACTTTAGCTAAGTAGGTGTATTTGTAGACACATGTTGAGATACCTGATGGAAGCATTGGAAGCTGCTTTAAGTATGATGGGAATTCTCAGTATGGTTTCCTATATTCTATGGAACAGCATACTGATGCATTAGCCTGTGGATTCCAAATGCTATTGGGAATCACCTGTGAGCTAAAGGCAGTGGTCTCACCTTTCCCCTTGACTCCAGGTCTAATGCAGCACAGCAGAGCAGGCTCTGGCCTACCTGGGCTGTTGTGTTTTGGCACATCCAACAGTTCTTAAGTGTTTGGTGCACATTGGTTCTTCATTATGGTTTTCCAAATCCCAGACAATAGGCTAAACTCTGAAACAAACTTATGCATAGGAGCATTTATTTTTGCATATTGATAGCAAAATATAAAAGGTGAGAGTCTTAAGAAAATGATGATAAATCTTTAACCATTGTACTGAATTTGCCAGTAAGCTGATTATCCTGGTGTACATATGCATCATGGATAGTTGTGTTGCCCATTACTTTATTACATGCAAGGACTGAGTCCTGTCAGACCCCGCAGGACGGATGGGTTGCAGCCCCCCCCTCTGTCAGGCAGCTCTCAGGTGATGCATAGTACTCCAGTAATGGTAAATGCTACAGACAGTGCTTTTGCTTTTGCTTTTTTTTTTGAAACTGGCATCATCTTTCCCTCCCTGCTTAGTGAACCTAGCTAGTATTCGGAGCAGAGCTAAACATTTGCTTCGGTAGGCTGAGGCACAGTTCAGGTAAAGCAGAACAAATAGGAGTTAAATGACTTACAGATCTGTCTCTTCTGTCTCTGTGTAGGTGTCTTCATGGAACAGCATGTCTGAACTTCTGGGAATTTGATGCTTTTTTTTTGAGCTAAATGTCTTAAACTGGCAAAAAGCCTTGATCTGATTCTGTTTGCACTGAAGGTGCTTGCCCTTCTGTGACTATCTGCCCTTGACAGGAGGTTTGTAGGTGTGCTGGGAAGAACAGGCAGTGCTTGCTGAGATACAGGCGGACTGCTCTCGTACTTGGGTGTCACCAGGTGACGTGATGTTTGGAAGGAAGACCTCAACATGGCAACTGAATCACTTAACGTTTGTTTTAGATGACCATAGATTTTTCAACAACAGCCTTTCCGCAGTGCCAGTAATGAGGAAAGTTTCCAGCAGTAAATTTTCTGTGTCTGTTTGATTTGTAACATGGAGGGCAGTGCTTGTGGAAGTGAGCCAATGCAATGCTTCTGCTGTTGCATCCTAAACAGTTTCGAAAATTAAATTTACTGTTAGAGCAGGTGTTACCTAACCTTCGCTTGGCCAGCTCAGATTTATTGCAGTCCTTTCTGTCGATACAGAATGTTACCTGGAATAATGGAATAGCATATATTTACATTTAGCCAAGGCAGTTTGTGATTTTGGCATGAAGATGGTGAGTCCTTTAGAGTGTGACCTGTTCCAAGTGGAAATTCGGGACTGCAGAGCTGTGGCAGTGGTGCAGGTGGATGCTCATCTCAGCTGTTGTGATGGCACTGGGGAGGACCAGGTGTCCTTATACTGGTATGACTGGTTAAGGAGGTAGAAGTGTAGCCTGGGAAAAATACATCTTTAATGTGTTTTCTAAACCAGTTAAGTGCTATATACCTATTGAGCCATCAAAATTGCTGTTTCCATTTGATTTTGAGAAGCGTTGTATCCCACAGGAGGGAGGTTTGTGCTGTGATCTGAAGTTCACCACATTTACACTAAAATATGGAGCTTTAGGAAAACTTCCAGTGGTGCTGGGGAGAACATACTGCATTTTTTTTTTTCTCCTAACTGTGTATTTTAGGGGAGAGAGGTTGGGAGGAGTTTGATATTGCATATACAGGAAACCAACCAGTGCAGTGGGTGAATGTTTTGATCTCAGCCCCTGTTTTCTGTGCAGACTGATGTTTTGGGTGTTGCCAGAGCAAGTTTCATGAAGACCACACTGTAATCTAGCCTGAAGGTGGTGTGGTCTTGGACAGCACTTGAGATTTGTCTCAGCAATTCATTTTGAATTTTATATTGTCAGAGTTGAAAGTACACAGAAAGCAGCAGCAGCAAACAGCAAGATCTGAGTGCTGGTGATTGTTGGGCAAGTAATGCTGGGTCAACACAAAAGCAATTGAACTGGAATTCGCCTCATCTAACCTTTTTGTTTGGTATTTCGCGTTTCTCCAATCCTCTCTTTCCCAAAAGTGGGAGTTACTGTTGCACAGAAACTGCATGCTGTTTGTTGGAGGGAGGCTTTCCAATGCAATGTGACCCAGAACTCATCCTTTACCTCTGGAGTGGCACAGTGTCCTATGAATCTCTAATCCAGAGACCACACCTGAAACCCTTCGGTCCTGCTGAGTCACAAGTAGGCAGGGGCTGGAATTTGTCCTGGTTACATCTTGGGCTGCTGCCAGCTGGGGATGGTCATGGCAAAGGTTGAGGGATCAGTAGGGTAAAGAAACCTGTGTGAATACTAAAAAGATTTTTTAAAGAGGTTCTGTGTCCTGTAAAAGGGAAGAGTCCTGCAACACTGTGAAACTTGTAGCTTTTTCTTAACTTTTAGTCAGTTTTATGCGACTCTGGATTGAAGCAGGAGTTAGGCATTTCAGCAGCAGTTTCTTCTCTGGTGTCAGTGCAGAAACCACAGTTCTGTCACAAGCACAAGAAAGGATGAGGCATTCCTGAAAGGGCCTTTTTGTTCTTTTCCTCCTGAAGACTCAAGGACATCCGTCTGTCCCAGGTTTGAGCTGCCTCTGAGCTGTCCTGCTCTGTTGGTTCATCTCCTCGCCTCCGTGGGAGATCATCGCTTTGGGGCATAACAGGGAATTGCCACTTAGATATTGTTACACGCCGTGTCTGAAGCTCGCTGCATGCCTGTCATGATATCAGGAAGAGATTTCTCCTAGGAATGTGTGTGAAAAAGAAAAATGTAACCCGGTGATGAGAGAAGTGGCCTGCCTTTGAAGACAGAAGGGAAAGGCAATAGAATGCGCGGCATCTCCTCTTGCGGGGTGAGCTGGTGCCTGTAATGGAGGTGCAATGCTTTGTTTCTCCCCATTAGGTTTCCCCATGTCCGTGACGTGTTGGCCGAGGCTCTGCGGCTCCTCTCCGCCCTCGGAGCGGCCAGTCGCTGCCCTCTGGACTCCGTGATCCCCGACGGGCGTCATGAGCATTGCAATCCCTCTGGGAGTCACCACACCAGATACGTCCTACTCCGACATGGCTGCAGGATCGGAGTGAGTGTTACCCGCGGAGGAGCAGGGGAGGGTGACTGCGGGCTGCGTGAGAGGTGAATGCAGAGATGGACTCTAACTGTGTAACACAGATGGTACTGTGGAAATTGGTGCATTTGCCCCATGACATGGGCATAAGGGGAGTTCTGAGAGCGTGAGGCACTCGTCCCTGCTTTTTGTATCTGTTTGGCTGGTCTACGTGCAAGTACAGGCAGTTGTGCATTTGCTGTACCTATGCTTGATGTTGGCAATGTATAGGCCAGCTGCTTTTCAAAAGCTTTTTTGTGAGAGGTCAGTACGTTGGACTCTGCTAGCTCAGGTGCAGCACCACTGCTTACATGACTGATTTCTGAAGCAGCATGGAGCTTGGCTGGAGATGTGCAACAGCATCAGCTTTGGTGGACGCCTTCATGTATGTTGTTTCTATTGCTGAGCACATTCCAAGAAGTGCAGCTTAATTGTTAGTCCTCGAGGGTTCCCGACACAGGACTCTGCCTTAATAGAAGTCAGGGAAGTTTCAAATCCTGAAAATACTTTACTGTTATCTTTTCTTAAAACCCTTGTCATAGAATGGTGTCAACTCATACGAGCACTGGTTTTGCTGGGTAGAAGAGGAAGGGCCCATGTTATTTCTGTGTGCTTCTACCTCCTGTTTTCCTGCATCTTTCTTTGAAGTATGGACTGTAGCATCTACTTTTCTGTGGCATTTTTTTAAAGGCTTTTTGAAGATCTATTTCTCTCATGCATTAATTACAGGTACCTGCTGTGCAAATACCTGCATGTCAGATTGATCACTGTAGAACAGAATGCTCCTGTTTCTATTAATTTTGAGCTGTAAGAGCAGTTTTAACTACATGGAGTCTGACTACACAGTGGCACTCACTGTGAGACTGCTAATGCACTTTCTCATCCGTCCTGGCACTGGCCTCACTCTAGGCATTCTTTGTGATCCTGCATTCTACCATAAAGTCTGTATTTTTGCAGACTGTTCCAAATGAGGAATTGAGCATGTAGTAAGTCGTTCATCTGGAGTTGATATCTAATCCTTCGCTTTTCAAGACTTAATGTTCAGTGCTGCTTGTCACCATGCATCTCCCACACCACTTTAAAGACTCAACATCTAGGAATTTCAAAGTAGGAGAGAATGCTAAATAGTTCACTGGTGTGCTATGTGCTTGCTTTCAGAACTGAGTGGGATATACCTATGCGTGTCCCTTGTAATATTTAAATATTAAAAAGGCTGTCTGTAAACCTTCTGCAAAACATTTTTCCCACTGGTTGTAAAGAATTCGTAGGTCCAACTTTGGGCTAGGCTGGAGTGCTCTGAAAAAGCCTTTTCAAGATTTCAGAGTTGACTTCTTTCTCTGTTTTCTAAAAACTGGCAAAGTCAGGACTTTATTTTTCTGGCTTTGCATTCACTGCTGCTTTACTGCTGAAGTGTCCCTTCCTGAGTCTGTTCAAAGCTAAGGCTGTCTTCCACTTCTCCTTTGAAATTCTACAAATTCAGTGCATATCTGTGCTAACCGAGCTTCTTGTCTCTTACAAGGAGTTTCGCAGATGTGCACTATGAAGTAAATGAGAAGGCAAAAGGAAATCTAGCTGGTCCTCTCTTAAGGCTGAGCTTTAGCATCCCCCTCTGGCCTCTGATGCAGAGGGGAGGTGAAAGTGCTGAAAGATGTTTGTGTTCAGTGATCTCAGAGGGTGATAAGACTGCGGAGTACTTTTGCATATTGGAAGTTGTTGAAGCTCTTTAGAGGGTTGCTGATGAGGGAGCAAGGGCCTCAGCATTGTTGCCCCTGGACACCGTTGCACCAACAGTCATGAAGTTTTATTGCTAATGATTGTGGCAGCGCTGTTGGTATTCCGGGCTGGCTGCAGTTAGCAATATGAGAGACTTGGGCAGAGAGCAGACCTGCTGTTTGGGCTCTTTTCCTTCTAATATTTCAGCTAAAAGTGTAATGAAGTCATGAATGGTTTTAAACTCATAACAGTCTGGAAATCCTGACCCTTGTTGTGAAGATGCAGCAAGGCTAGATAATGTGCCAAGTTCTACGTGCTACCTTTTATTAAGAGCTATCTCTCCTTGGAGATATCACCACCTGTATCTTCAGCTTTTGACTACGTAGCTGAGAGTAGCTGTGTTAAAAAACAACCCAGTTTATGGTGTCATGCATCTAAATCCTGAGCTACAGAAGCGAGGCTTACGTAGGCAAAAGGCCTTCTTGTTTCTGCAGTTCAATAAATCACTGTTCCTTACAACTGAAAAGACAGATCCACCTGACTCCAGAATAAGCCAGAAGCCCAGGAAGTCAGTGCATTAGAGCGTGTACCAGGTTTAGTGGCAGGGTGGGGCAGACTCAGTGCTGCAGAGATTTCAAGAGCTAATAGGAAGTCCAAAGGGCACAGGGGTTAGTGTTCTTGGGTGGTGCCTAAATGCTCCCCCACGCGTGGCCAGTGGCCATTAGTGTCTGAGCACTGCCTGATTCACACTGACAGCATAAGACCCACTGAGAATCCTGCAGGATCTCATCAGAGCGGCAGAAGTCCAAGGTAAAGTTTTCCTTTCCTGCATTTTTCTTTCCTGCTTGCTCAGCTCCCTGCTGTATTTTTTTAAGAGGATTTCAGCTGCAGATATGATTCGGTAATATGCTGCTGTATTCTGCTGCTTCTGATCTGTGCAGAGGTTAGCTGATATCCATCTCCTGCTTGGGGAAGCTCCTAAGAAGCAGTGCATTGCCTTGCTGTATTCTGTCCATAGCCTCATTATCTAATATTCCCTGCATTGAATTGCAGCTGTCCCTTCTCTTAGCAGGGTTTCTGCAGCTTTCTGCAAAGGATATACCTTTCATTTTGAGCAGTTTTTTTCACCACCGTGTGGTGGAATAGTGCATTGTACCTCAGCAGCAAATTTCTTATTCAGCACATTGCACACCGTTTTGCTGTATGGAAAGAATAGGGAGTATCTGATTGGAGTGTGGCTGCTGTCTGTCCAGGTCATGAATTTAGTTGCCCCTTTGTAGCAGTAATCTTCAGCTCCCACGATGCTGTCAGGACAGCTGCAGGTTTCATGCAGACATTACTGTGGGACATTGGACTCTGCTAACAATTAGTATCCGAGAGAAACAAGTGCAGATGCAGGAAAGCTGCTTAGCTGCTGTTTGAAGTAAGCTGTTGTGGAGATAACATGGCAATACTATTCAGTGACTTTGAGATTAAACTGGATGAGTTCAGATGTGAATGCTGAACTATACCCAACTTCCTCAACTATAAGGAAATAGAGCTTCTTACGTGTTTCTTAATTGTTACTATTTTTTTAACTTCTCAGACTGAGGCAGGTTTTATATAAGACGTGTTATCCAGGGTGGCCCTCACTGAGCTGCTTCCCTCTGTTGAAAGCAGGTTCATCCTGTACAACTTCGGCACGCATAGTGCCTGGTGAAGCACATAATACACCTTTATTTCATGAAGTTTCTTCATTCATGTGGTGAATAGAAAAGAGCTGTGAATAACTGGCGCTCAAAATGATGTTCTATTGATGGGTTTTACTTCTGGCCCTTTCTGCAGCCCAGAGTCTGTGGAAGCTAGTCCAGCTGTCAGTGAGAAGAATGTGTACTCCAGCCACGGCTATGGGGCCACCCAGAAACACAGCTATCGCGGGCTGCCTTACGCAGTGAGTACTCTCTCTGCAGTGAACCAGCTCTTTACTGTCTGCTTCGCTCTTTTTTCCTTGTTGCATAGCTTTGCCTGTTCAGCCTTAGAAGTTTTGGCTTACTTTGTGAGGGAACGCTGAGTTACAGCTGAGTTGTGCCATACGTTTTGCATTTGTGTGTTTATTATTTGTGAAGACTTGCATACATTATAGCAAGTTTTATTAGCGTTCTAGGTGACATTTTTTAAAAACTGAATGAAGTGTGACTGTATATGAATATGAAGTACTTTTCTGGCAGTGCCCTCTTTGGTTCATTTTACATTATTTGTGCTTGTTTAAACTACACAGATTTTCATATTGATAATTTATGAGAAATAAGGAGCAGTAAGAAAGAATGGGAACATGGTTTGAATGTGGATTGAACAGAATGTCATAGCATCCTTGAGGTTGAAAGGGATCTTTTGAGATGTAGCCTAAACCCCCCCCTTGCTCAGGCAGAGTCAGCTGGAGCATATTGCCCAGAACTGTGTCTGGTAGTTTGAGCATCTCAACAAACAGACTTCACAACATCTCTGGGCAACATGGTCCAGTATTTGACCACAGATGTCATCTCAGATTGACAGTTAATGATGAAGTAGCTTAGTTGCTTATATAGATTCTGAATTTTATTCACTGATGAATGTAATTCATGAAGAAAACCATTCACCTCTTTCAGAGCTTTACCTCCTTGGTAGATTGAGGAATTCAGATTACTTAACAACCGGTGTAAAACAATAATAACCTGGGAAGTTTCCAGACATCATATCTTCACATTAAAAGTAGTACTGCCAATACTCATTTTCAGGATCATAATTATGGAGCCCCTCCTCCTCCAACGCCACCAGCCTCTCCTCCTGTCCAGACCATTATACCTCGTGCAGAACTGAACGGCTTGCACTCACCTGATGAGGAGAATTCCGGGGACACTGAGAGCTCCTCAGAAGGAGAATCAATTCCCACTTGGTGCCACTGCAGTGTTTCTCAAGATGGTTTCCTCCTCAAGTGTGAGAAGTGCAGGTAAGCTTTGGTGCAGTGCAGATCTCGACTGCTCTTTGTGCTGACTTCTCAAGCCAAACTCTTTTCTTGTTTGGGCTATGGGACGGACTTCCTTTTGCTAACTGGAGCGTTCTTTCCAGTGCTTTACCTAGTATTGACCCTCCTCCTTTGCGTTGTCAGCCTGACAAGTGTTGGTGGCACCAGGAGTGGAGATGAGGATGTTAAATCGATGTTCTTATCATCCTGGGCCCCACTGAGGGCACGCATCTTGTGACATCCTGTTGAATTTCAAGTGACTTTACTCCTACAAACCAGCTTCAATTGTGCATTCTCGTTTGGCAGAGGAATGAGCAGGGGGAAGGTGATCAGACTCCGCCGCCGGAAGCAGGACAACGTGTCAGGTAAGTGAGTTTGTAATTCTGATGATAGTGACTTTTGCTTTCCTTCTACAAGACCTTTGTCTTTTGGCTGATGTAATCATCTAATTGTGATCAGCACCTGCTAACGTTCTTTTCCTGCCAACCGCTGGGATTTTCTTCGCCTCAGTTAGTTCTTGGGACAATCAGATTATCTTATGAACTAAAATGTATGTTCATCAGTGCTATTCTGTATCAGAAATCCCGTTCTCAACTTGAGAGGGAAAACCTGAGTGGTATAGTTTTCATGGGGAAGAACTGTGTAGAGCTATTGAGTCATCTTGATGGAAGTAGTTGTAAGGTTGAGCTGCTCTCTGTGGGATGAATTATAAGGTTGCTAATGAAGCACTCCTCTCTGTAGGTGGGGACAGCAGTGCAACTGAGAGCTGGGATGAAGAACTATCTCCCTCTACAGTGCTGTACACAGCTACGCAGCACACCCCTACAAGCATCACGCTGACTGTCAACCGCGTCCGCAGAACCAAACCGAAGAAGAGGAAGAGGAGCACAGAAAAAGCTCGCACTGCTCCAAAGGCCAAAAAGATCAAGGTATGTGGAATGAGATGAGCTTGCTCTAATTCCTATCAAATGCTACGTGGAATATTTTTGAGAGCAGATTGTGAGCTTGTTAGTAGACAAGCTTTTGTCCTCTCAGGAATTGCTCTTTCTGTTGTAATAATATGACTCCTTTTATTTGTGACCTGCTAGAGTGTGTGGCTGTTAGTTTAGAATTACCTTACTCCAACTCCACCTTTATTTCCCAACACTGTCCATTCATGTTCAGAGATTTGAACTCTCATATTTTCCCTTCTGCTCTATTAGGATTTGGGGAAATAGCTCTTGGAGTCTGTCTGCTTATGCCAAAAAAGCAGTCTGTGAATGGAATGAAAAATGAAGTGAATGTGGCCTTTTTTAGCAAATGACGTTACACTGGGCTGCAGTGCTTCTTGGCACTGTTCTTCAGAGTCAGAGATGGTGTATGTGTGGAGAACTATGTAGGTAGCAATGAAGATTTACTAAGGGATGACATTACTGACTTTATTTGTGAGGGTTTGGTGACTGAAAAAATTGGAATGGAAATATGTGTTCTTTCTGATCACTACTAGTGTTACCTGATTTTCCTCACGTTTAGGGTTCCCTTGAAGTTATTATGGTAGGCACTGATTAAATAAAAGAATGGGAGCAGGAATCACGTGAAGTGTTTGAGTATGCTGTGAAGTGGTTTGATTCTCTTGTTGACCCTTTCTTCTGTCAGAGCAAATGGTTTCAATCAGGACAGTATGGCTTTTGATCCTGAGATTTTATACTAAGCATGATGCAGGACTTTTCAGTTCAGAAGTCTTGGCTGACAAGACTTCCGCTGGATTTACATTGCAGAATCTCTTTATGAATGTCCACTGGGTCTTCTGTAGGTCTTTCTGTATTTCTTGCCATCTATTGTTAAGAGTTGATCTGTTGCATAAAACCTGCCATTCCAAAGTGCTAATTCTGAGGAAAGGTTATAAAATACTTCTTTCTTCTCTTCTCTCTCCTTGTTCCGGGGGCAGGCTTTTCGAGAGGGCTCACGAAAGTCTTTGAGAATGAAGGTGAGTGGAACTGGGAAGCATCTATGATAATACTGTTGTTGTTGGTTGGTTGGATTTTTTACCCTCTAATTTCGTGCCTCTCATTGTTTGTCTGGGGAATTTTGGACTGTGGTATCTATGTCAAAATAATCCCAATCCTTTCCACACACTACAAGGAGGCCTGCTCAAAAGGGTATCCCATGAATCACCCCTTGAACCTTGCTTTTGCTTCAGATGGCTCATCGCTTTCTGTAAGTTAGTATCATCCTGTTCCAAAAGATAAGACTGATTCATGACACCTTAGAGTGAGGTGTTTAAGATGCAGAACTGGTTGTGGCTGCTCTCTTGTGAGGTCACTTACCATTTGATTGCATGGAGTTAAGTGTTAGTGTCTCTAGTAGTGTTGCCTTTTTTCTCTCCACATCCTCTTACTTGGGGTGGATGGAATGGTATATTTATCTCTTTTTTGGCGATACTAATAGGTTTGGTTATACAATATAAAGCTTATTTGACCAAAAAAAAAAAAAAAAAAGGTACAGAAGGGAATTTTTGCTTAGAACTAAATATCCCTACATACACAAAAGTTACCTTGAAGTTCCCTCAGATTGCATCTGACCCCAGTACTATAGCTGGGGGTGATCCCAAGCAGTTGACTCAGAGGAAATGGGGAGATTCTGTGGTGTGTCTGTCTAGGTGTATACTTGTCTCCATAGCACTCGAGTGCCTGCAGAGGGTAAAAATATGTGCAATTTTTATGCTTTTAGTATGTATGATGAAAATGATCATTTTTCAATGGTTCTGGTTACTGATGCTTCAGTATGTCATACATCTTGGTCCTAAAAGCCAGTTAAGTTTTTTACCTCTGGAATATTACTCACTGATTATTTCAATTATTGTCAAGTAAAGAATGAGGCTCGATTTTTTTTCTACCAGCTTTTTATCTCCTCCCTTACAAGATGATATAAATAGATTACCTGATTTTACCCTCTCTTCCTTACACTGCTTAGGACTTGCAGTTTTAACCTTCTGGGTATTATCTTGTGCAGTACATTCAGTTTCTTGAAACCTTGGTGACCATTTAGCCAGTAGGTTTTTTGGAAGTATTTTGGGATCAGTCACTGCAAAGATTGAGATACGATCAGCATAATCTAGCATTATGTTGGCTGTGAGTGGGTTGACTATAAGACAAGCTTGCATGAGATTTACTTGCATTTGTGTGTTCTGTTCCTTTGCTTTTTTAATCTGCATAATTATTTTTTCCAAAGTGACTTGAAAAGAACTTCTGGCCAAATGCTGGCTTAATTTTCTTGTATGTAACAGTGCCAAATACCCATTCTCAAGAGGCCTTAGTCTGACACACAGTTCTTTATAGATTCCTGAGTGCACTGTTGAACAATATTTTTGAAGAATGGAGATTCTGAAAAAGGTGTCATCATAACCAATGCTTTCTTAACTTGGAATATATGTGCCTTTTTTGTAGTCTATTCATATGCCCAGAGCACTGTGGATAGGTTTTTCCCATTGTTTGCTAGTCATTCACTCGTTGCTCTTTGGTGCAGAATTCCCCTTCTGAAGCACATGCGTTGGATGAAAACACAGCTGAAGGGTGGGAGAATCGAATACGACTCTGGACAGATCAGTATGAAGAAGCCTTTACGAACCAGTACAGTGCTGATGTACAAAACCTGTTGGAGCGTCATCTGAACTCTAATAAAGACTACATGGGCAAAACTGCTATGCTAGACACAATCAACAAAACAGAGTTGGCCTGCAATAATACTGTTATTGGGTCCCAGATGCAGGTAAGAACTAACATGAGAAAAGAAGTGGGGTGGGTGAGATCCTCTGGATGTGGGTGTTGGGGAAGCAGAAACATAGCTGGTCATGGGAAGGACATGGCACCTTGGAGTATAGATTCGAGAACACTTGTATTCAGTTACATCAGCGTTCTAAAGTTGGGGCCTTTTGTACAGTTCTGCAGTAAGATTCAGTGGTATTTTACTGTAAGTACTTCTGGTGACCAAATCAGGTAGAACCAGATCTCTTGCTTCCTGGAAATAGGAAGCTTCCTGACTTCTAGCTGAGATTTCATGGTTTTTGGGTTTTTTTTCTGATTCATACTGTGTGTGAAACTATTTTAAGAAGCCTTTCAACATTACTTCAGACTTTTTGAAAGATTACTTGGACTCTGATAACTTTCAAATACTGCATGATTACAATTGATTTTAGGGAACTGTGTGTACCTAATGTCCCTTCTGAGATATGCAGTGGTTAGTGTCTTGCCAGCTTTGTGGAATGCACGTAGACAAGGAAGAACAGTGAAAGGATGTTTGTGTTGTGTCTATTCACTCCTTCACTGTTCTGAGCTGATGTTTCATCTGGTCCGTGAGTTCTTGAATGGAGAGGAGCATTCCCACTCAGTTAGGTGTTGTGGGGTTTCCTAGTTTGGAGAAATTGAAGATAGGTGGAACTGAAAAGGACAGGCTCCAAAAACAGACGTGGAGCACCTCTCCTTTAGAAGGGGAGCACAGTCAGAAACCTGAATATCAGGTATATGTTTGTGCTTGAATCATTCTTGTTTATATCAGGTGACTCACCTCTCTGTGAAGTTCATGTGTTCCCTCCCAACTTTCCCTGTGTTTTCAGGTAGGTGAAGCACACCAGGCAGAGCACAGATATTGCCAGTAAGAGAGAGTGCAAAACAGGGACTTTAGACTCCTTCCTTCCACTCTTGTCTCTAGATCTACAGTAATAAAACATAGGAGGAGAAGGGAATAACCTTTCTGTATGGCTGTGAGAGTGGCCTTTTTAAGTGTAACAACTGTGAAAAAAATACAGGGAGGGAAATGTTCTACTTTTCTTGAAGATGTAATATTTTCTGAGTCTTACATGTAGTTTTCTAACTCATTCACATTAATTTTAGGAGAAGACCTGAAATAAATAGTAAAGCATATGCTATTTTCTTTTTGTCACCTTCACAGCATATAGCAGGACAGATGGTTATAAAAGAGCACCATACATAAGAGTGCTTGTTCTTGCCATGCTTTCTTGCGTTTTCCTTCCCCTGTACGGGTGTAGATTTTCCCACAGGGAAAAGTGACCAGCATTCCAAGTCAGAAGGTTCCAAATGGAATCTATCACAAAGAAATAAAAAGATTAAGTTGCAAATCTTCATGGTGAGCTGCAGTTACTCTAAACAAGCTGTAAGTAGGTAGCTTTCATTCCAAATGCTGGCAAAGTACAAAGCGAATGGATGTCTCTGGTATCTCTTGGATACTGAGGAAGGCTGTCCTGGGCTGCCACTTGTCAGCCCTTCTGTCCTTGTTTTCCCTTCTCAGCAGATGGCTGCAAAGCGTTGTGAGGATGCTAGCTGGCACAGGTGTGGAGTGACCAGCCAGGAATATGAGGTCTCTCATCCTGTGCTTTATGTCTTTTATTGACTTATTTGTCTCATCTCTGATAGGTAAACTGAGAAGGTTTCTCAGTTTGCATCACCTGCCATTTCACTGAATATCATTACTGGACGTGAAAATAGCTTTTCTGGATGGTGAAAAAAAATAGATACTTCAAAATGGGTAAAAATATGCAAATACTGCTCTACTTGGCCATGAAAACTCTCAAGCATGTAGAAAGGAATAAAAATAAAATGTCATACATGTCCTGTGTGCTCTTACAGTTGATTAGCTTGGGTAAACAGTGATGTGAGTGTAGTCTGTGTATTCTTCCAAGGGGAAAAAAAAAAGGGGGGGGGGAGAAGGAAATGGTGACCTAAAAGTCCCTCCAAACTAGAATGAGTAGGAAGAGGTGGGCTAAGAGTTTCACCTGGGATATGAGATTTTGATCATTGGGATGGTCTGAATAAGCTAGTTCTCAACCATCCAAATGATGCAAAGGAAAGCTTCTGAAAACCTGAAGCTGCTTAGACCAGGAATAAAAACAACTAGATGGCCAGATGCCTGACAATTTGAAAGCAATGAAGCGCTTTTCTGCCTTCTATTGCCAGAGCAAACCCAGGGTCATTATTTGCCCTTTGTTGCCTCTGATAATTGCTGACTTGAGCTCAAACCCCTGATTGATTTCACATGCTAAAGTGAAGAGCCTTTATAAAATAAAGCCACCGAGTATTATGCAGATGTTGCTCTGCAAAAATATCAGAACGGTTTTGTCTGATTACCAGTCAGCAATCCCTGGCCTATGACGTACATAAAATCATTTGTTCTTTTCACACATGAAAGCATGGCAGCTAATCCTCTTCATATTTCTAAATTCAGAGAATGAAAAACAAGCTGAGCTAGGATCTTACAGAAATGCTGAGATCATTCCTGTTGTACCAAAGTGAGATAATTGTGAAGCTTTACAGATGCACTGATACTCTCTCCTCCATGGGTTTTCTTTTCCTTCCACCATCTCACTTCATCCTACTGGTGTCACAAGCTGTTTTCAAAAATGAGGTGCAAAGCAGTCATGGACCAAAGGCAGGAATGAAGGCCACCAGATAATAATTCACATTTCTGAAAGATACAAAGAAGAAACTATAGAATTGTGGAATAATTAAGGTTGGATGGAAACACAGAAGCTCAGCTGGTCTATTCCTCCTGCACATAGAGCCTGTTTAGATAAGGAGCTGATTGTAACAGAAAATAAGTGAATGTGACCACAGAATACTGCTGTTCTCAGGAAAGGAAGGCATCTTATCTTAGAGTTGACTCATGTTATGGAGCTGTTGATCAGAAATCAGGGCTAGCAGTGTGACTTCTTGGTCCTAAAATATTTCTTCTATGCCAGTTTAATGGGTTTCCCTGGAATTGGGAAATGATCTGTGCACTCTAGGCCGGATTCAAGATGTGACACTGCAAGGCTTTTCATAGTCTCTCTAATACATACATTCAGGTTTTTCCAATTGTCTGCAGATATATTGGTATGAAAATGTTTGCAAGAGTTGTGCCCTGTAGGCATGATAACATAGCACTGGATATATCTCTTCAAGGAGATCTGGAATAGCAAGGCCATTATTCCCATCTGCATAGATTTCAAATGAATATTTTTATAAAGCTATTTTTATCCTGGAGACCTGAGTGAGACAAGTCAACTAATCTTACTTTATTGGCTGATCCAAGATTTGTAGTGTACTGTCATATTAAAACAATGAAAGCCTCCTTCTTCCCAAAGAGATTTATTCAAAACACATGTAAGATTGCTTTAAAAAAAAAAGAGAGAGAGAGAGAGAGAAGGGTAAAGTCTGTGATTCAGAACTCTCAGCATGGTCAGTATGGAGGGCTTTATTTGCTTCCCAGTGCTGGGTGCTGCCTTAGGGCACAAACTTTTGTTTCCATGAGGTTAGATGTCATCATTCTCCTGTTTTTCAGATTGAGCCCTTTCTTAAGCTAATGTGATTTTTATTCAGATGAGCAGACTGCACAGTAGCTGTTTCTAACGAGTTTCATCAGGAAAAGTTGGGAGCTTTCCTTCAACGACATCATGTGGTTTACTTCTAATTTAGATAGATGGATGTTACTATTGCTGAAGCAAGAACACTTATGTCTCAGTTCGGTCTGGAAGAGTATCAAGAAGCAGTCCTTATGAACAATGAATTACATGCTTAGGAAGGAGCACACACAGTTCTTTTGCAGTGAGGCAGCCAGCCATCTTCACATAATTCTGCAAAAATTCCCAAATTTTTATATGCAGAGAGATGTAACCTGCTAAGCAGGGAAAGTTTTTGTTTTTAATTTAAAAATCTTTTCTATGTCCTAGTGTTTATAATATCCTCCCGTTATGCCATAAAACATGTCATTTTTTGATGCTTGTGCTTAAAGACTGCTGTGCTTTCATACTGTCAAGACATGCTGTTGTGAAAATCCATTGTAATAGAAAGTAGACTTGAACATGAAGGAGATTCACTAAATTGTCAGCACCTGCTTAAAAATGTATTTCTTCACGTTTCAAAAAAAAGTGTGATAAAATCCTCAGCACTGGTTGATCAGGAAGATGAAGAAGATTCTGGATCGAGATGGAAATTGACAGCTTAAGTCTTTGCCTTGTTAGCTAGAATTACCATCCTCTGCAAAAGGAAAAGCTTCTGTTTTTCCTCTGAATGTGTGACAACCCACAATTTAGGGAAGATTTGAGTTATTCTGTCTGTGAAAGTGGCCATAATTGCAGAGCAGTTCCCTATTAGCAGCAACTGACAGGTCTGGTTATGCCTCCTAGCTGCAAGACTAAAACCCTCCATCTGATAGATTTGCGAGTCTGTTGAAGGAAAGAAATAAATATTTTGTTTTTGATAAATATTATCAAGGTCATTGGTTATCACTAAACCATTACAGGATAACAGGATAAACAATATATTGACTGGATGTATGTGCAGTTTTTGGATGTTTTTGCCAGATGAATTTTTCTCTTCTTGTAAGCACTATTCTCTCCATGAGTTGCAGACCTTCGGTTTAAGCACTTGTATTTCACTCTGTTTTGTTACAGCTGCAGCTGGGACGGGTGACTCGGGTTCAGAAGCACCGGAAGATCCTGAGGGCAGCAAGAGACTTGGCACTAGATACCCTTATAATTGAGTATCGAGGGAAGGTTATGTTACGACAGCAATTCGAGGTCAATGGGCATTTCTTCAAAAAGTAAGAGTACTACAAAGTGATTAGTTTGAGAGCATCATGGCACAGAGAGGGCTAATGCACACTTGCAGGGCCTTTGCCATCTGTGCCATCCATAGAAATGTGAAATCAAATATATAGCCTCAGCTTGATGCTCTGCTTATGAACCAAAACCCACTGAAGTAAATCTGTTCCATCTTGCTCATGGAAATACATAGGCCTCCAGAGCAGTAGTACTGATTGAAACACTGCTTCCTGTTTTAACTGCCATGGGAATTGAGTATTTGGGGATTGAGACATTCTGTTACTTCTCCAGGCCATACCCATTTGTGCTGTTCTACTCCAAGTTCAATGGCGTTGAAATGTGTGTTGATGCCCGCACCTTTGGTAACGATGCCAGGTTCATCAGGCGCTCCTGCACTCCAAATGCAGAGGTAAATTCTCTTCACCATCACCAAAATTGCAGATAAATTTTACATAAATCTGATGCATTGACTTTTTATGAATATTCAAACTTAGAATGCAGTAAACAGGGTGAATACTCTGCATCTCTTGCTCATTTGATGGTTTATATTTGGAATAAGAGATCAGCAGAAGATTGGGAAAGTGAGTTTTTTCTTGAAGGGAAATGTTTCTTTTAAAGCTTTCATCTGGCTGCAGGATGATAGGATAAGCAGGTGTGAGTGGAAAAGCATAGGATGAGACACAGCAGAGAAACAGGCTTTTCCCTTTAGCAATTTTTGGATAATTATTCATGTAATATTTGAGAGCTTCTTTACTGAAGGAGTCTTCCCTCTCAGAAATAAGAAGTGCGACTTGTGGAGATGTTAGTTTCTCTCTGCTTTGTTTAACAAGGTCCGTCATGTGATTGCTGATGGGATGATCCACCTGTGTATCTATGCTGTTGCCACCATTGCCAAGGACACAGAGGTTACCATCGCCTTTGACTATGAGTACAACATCTGGTGAGTCCTTCACCTCGCCCAGGAGCTCTCCACTGCCCTCCTGGACTGGACATCCTTCCTCCAGCCCTTTCCTCGCATTCTACATTTTGCTCCGTTTTCTACTGAATTGCATTTTCCGGCTATTCTGTCCAGTTCTGCTGGCATATTCTACAGTAGAGGCCATAAGGTAGCCTGCTGTCCTTGCTTTGGCACGTGGTGAGATGTTTAGTAGGAGATGCATTGAATGTCTCTGTGCAAGGGTTGAGAAATGAAGAGTGACACGAATTATGTTTGTGTTTTGGAGCAGCAACTATAAAGTGGACTGTGCGTGTCACAAGGGGAACCGGAATTGCCCTGTGCAGAAACGTAGCCCAAATGCTGCAGAACACCTACCTCCACCTGTTTTAGGCACACTGATTGGGGCAGAAACACGCCGACGAAAAGCCCGTCGAAAGGAACTAGAAATGGAACAGCAGAGCGTTGTATTGGATGAGAACATCAGTCAACAAACAGAAGAAGTTCCAGAGGGCCCTGTGGCAGTCAGTGACAATGAGGTAGAACTCCTGACACTTTGTCAAATACCTTTGTTGTTGAATGTTTTTATTGGTGGTGTGGAATCTCATCGGGGATAATTCTGTGTCTTCAGAACAGAAACTGCCTGAGGCCTTTCTTAAACCCTAGATTTCTATGAGAGTCTTGAAAAGTTTAAAATGCTGCCAGATTTTGTTTGCTGTGCTAAGTCTTGACTTCTCTTTTAGGTTGCAGATAAGGAAGAGAAACAAGAAGAGGAGAAAGAGGAGTCTGTAGATGAACAAGGAACCTTGGTCCACAGCAGACGGGCAAGTACCTTTCTGTTTATCATTCTTCTTAGGACTGGCTTCATGTAGTGACAACAGGTCCAGTTGGTTATTTCATTTGTTTCAACATAAATTCCAGCTGCTGGTGGTCATCAGTTCACTCCACACAGTAGGATTTATATTAAGGCACTGCAGTTTCAAAGGTAGAGACAGATTTATTTCCTGGTTGAAAGGTTTAACTGTTAGTTTCAGGGCTATTTTATTGTCAAACTCGTACCACTAAAAAGACAGCACTAGGTTCAAAAAAGGTAATTGCACCCTTTTTATGTTCCTGCAGTGCCCCTCATTTTGCCAGCCCAAGAATTTATGGAGCCATATGATGAGCCAGAACCTTGACCCTTTTTGATGAGTTAGGTTTGTTAACCTGCATCTGCCCCATGTATGAGTTGACAAACGGTTGTACAGATAAGTTGCCGTGAGGGAAGGGGATAGGGTGAAGTGGCAAACCTTTTCAGGAGGGATGGGCTACCAACAGCATTTCTGGCACAGATCAGCAAAAGTTGCTATATTCTTTATTATGAAATCCTTTTGTGCACCCACTATCTTGATCAAAATATTTCTTAGTGCTTTTGGTTCTAAGTCAATTCTCAACTTTCTTATATTGTTATTTTTATTTTTTGGTTTAAAAAAAGTCGGTGAAGAAAAGGGACTTCCATCCTTCTGCCAGGCAACAACTGTGTCAGAGTTTCTTGTTTTCTTTGTTCACTAAATACCCTATCCTCCATGCTTTTGTCTAATCAGAGAGATCAGTCTTCTGTGCAGAAATTTCCTGAGAATATTTTAATCGTTAAGATGGTACGGTAAATTGCAGAGCCAAGAACCATCCAGCAGAGAGATCCTTGGATTATCCCTTGGATTTTTTAGAAGGGGCAAGGTAAAGCAGTTAGTTTCTGCTCCAGTTTGAATAAAAGCAGTTTCCCACCAGACTGGCCATAAGCTTAGAGGGAAGATGCTATTTTTAATGCAAGGAAACTGATCTCGTTCTGTATAGTTCAAGAAATGTATCCAAGTGAAGTGTTAGTTTCCCATGAGCTTGTAAGCCCTGTTCCTGTGCGTGTTTCACCAGTTAATCTCCTCTAATGAGATTCGGTTTTCTATACTTGGCACCAGTTAAATACCTGTATCTGCGATTTTCTCAATCTTAAACGTTTATTTTTGTGGACTGAATATTTTTGAAACGTAGCACTACAGTGGCAGGGTTGCTGTGTGTTAGTATTGCTGTGTACTTTAAGACACTTCCTCCCCCATGGCAGTTCCTAGAAGGCACCTGATCCCACCTGATTCTTCTTGAAAAATTCACTTGCCTTGTCTGCCAGGCTCTGCAGCATTATTGTACTGGGTCTTTTACATTTGGAATTAACAATTATTTCTGACACAGCTAGGTGATAAGATTTCCTGTTGTTTGTTTACCTAATAAATATCTCCTTGGCTCCCTGCTCTTTTATGTTCTGTTTTTCTTACTCGCTGTGTAAGCTGCTTGGACATAAGCTTTTATTTTGAGCTGGATGATCTCTTGGCAATTTGTGTGGTAGTTTTGTGCTTGCTGAAAATTACTGATTCTCTTACTTCTGTTGCCTCTGGCTTATGTTTGCTTCTAATGTTTTTTCATTAGCAAGCAAATCCATTTGTTTCCAGGTCATCTTTTCACTCCATTCTTTCTCACAGTTTTTAGTTCTTAAATCGCATTTCCTTTTGGCTATTTTATAAATGTAACTCAGTAGTATATAAGTGATCCTATTTAAGAACAAAATCTAGTTCTTATTACTCTATGAATGCATAATTACATTGTCAGTATTCTGAGAAATTTGCTACATTAAAAAACACGAATACTTGAAGGAAAAAAGAAAAGAAAGCCTCGTCTTTTCACAATCTTGCTCTTGGTTCACTGCTGTTCAGCAGTTGTTCTCTTGGCTGCTCTGCATCCCATATCTGTTCTTGCATTCTGCTGTGTCCATGATTTGCAGTGCTAACTTTGAATTACTTTTTTGTGTTCTAGTCCCGGGAAGATAGGAAGGTAGAAGCCATCATGCACATGTTTGAAAACTTGGAAAAGAGAAAGAGGAGACGAGAGCAGCCATCGGATCGGAATAGCACTGATGCTGAAGTCAGCATCAATTCTGAGACTCCTGAGCTGGAGGAAGTAAAAACAGAAACTCCTGAAACTGAGGATGCAAGTTCAACACTGAGTGCCACTGCTGCTTCAAATGTCTCTAGCAGTAACAGCAGTACTGGGGTGAACACAAGGCGGTCTTCACAAGTAGTAGCGGTAAGATAAAGATGTGTTAGAGCCTGCATACCAAACCCATAAGCAGCTTGTCTTATCAGGACTGGGAGAAACTTAAGAGCGTCTCTAGACTGTTCTCACCCAGACAGGGCTGGCTTTGAGGTCAAATCATGTAGCCCTGTGTTTTACCCTGTCTTGTCTTTAATACTTCCAAGGATGGAGATTGCACGTCCTTTGGATCCAGTCATCCAATTCTCGTGGTGAAGAACTTTTGCCTTTTATGCAGTCTGAATATACATATATATGTTATCTCGTCTTCCCACTAGGTGCTGCTGCAAAGAGCCTGCATTTTTTTGTGCCCTCAGTTTGAATGTAAGAAGGCTTTTCTTAGGTGGCACTTTTATTTGGGTAGATTTAAGCCTAGCTCCTTCACTCAGTGGGCAGCATATATTAGGAGGTCTTTTCCTTTTTCTTTGTGCTTGTTTTTTTGGGAGGGTTTTTTGCTTGCTTTATTTTTTTTCCTGTCTACATTCAGTGCGTGTGTTCCCATTATACACCAGATGTTTTACCTAGGTATTTTCACAGATACTTGCCTAGAATGATGCTTGCCAACTCAGATCAGAGGTGAGCATAGTTGCCTTAAGACAAATAGCAAGTTGAATAATGCTGCTGTCTTACTTAAGACCAGTATATTAGCTGACCTCTTAAGAACACAGCAAAGGAAATAATAGTGTGTGTCAGTCTTTTAGAAGAGAAATAGAAGGCTCCTAATGGTGCTTGGACTGATGACAATTTATTTTGTAGGATGTTGTCCCAGAAAAATCAGTTACTAAACCTGCTCCAGCAAAACCCTCCAGGCCGCGACCAAAAAGTCGATTCTCTCGATACCGGACCAGTTCAGCACAAAGACTGAGAAGACAGAAACAAGCCAATTCCCAGCAAGCTGAACTTGTACAGGCTGTCTCAGAGGAGGGAAGCACTGCCAACTTGGTAACCACAACAGATGTCACCAGTGTAGAAGGTCCAGGAGAAGGCAGACAGTTGATGGGATCTGACCCAACTGTTATCCTGGCTGCAGGATCTCAATCTAACCGGACTGCAGTGAAGTACCCCAAAACTAAAAAGGTAAATATGATCAAGTACTCAAACTGGACAGGGAAAAAGTAGGTGCTTTGTTGTGGACTTTAGGGAAAAGTTGGCTCAGGGGAAACTCTTCTTCAGAACACTCAGAATGATCTGATTTTACATTGGCTTTATTTTTTCTCTTGTAGTGTCTAAGAGCCCTCATCATGAGTCAGATGGCTGCTCAGTGCCGTACAAAGACCAAGAAATGAGTAGCAGATCAATGCAGTTAGTCTACATAGAACTTAGATATCAGCAGGCTGATTGAGGTGCAGTAGAAATGGTCTCACTATTGGGTATAGCAAAGAGCCTAGAAAGAGACAAATCGTACAGCTTTATCTTTGTGGGGAGGTAACTACTTCCAGCTTGAGGGGTCCTGACAAAAGGGTTGTAGGGGGATTGTCATTATAAGGAATTGGGTGGTGGAGGGTGAGCCCTGATTGAGAAAGCAAAAAGTAATGTCTGGTAATGTCTGTGGTAAGGAAGAGAGGCTGAAGAAAAGACTGTGCTCTTTGGGGGCACACTAAGCTTGAGGTATTACCCAGTCATTTGTAAGGTGCTAGGCAATTCTCAGAGAAAACAATTCATGAACTGCATGCATACAGTCTTGAGAAGTTTTCTCCATGCTTTCAGTGTATTGGAAGCAAGGAGGAAAAGGCTGTCAACCAAGAATTTTACATTAAATCAAACAGCACAGAGATGAAAAGAGACTTGCTTAAAAAAAAATAAAACAACAATAAAACCACCAGAATTAATTATAGGTTATTGCATCCTGCAAAGGATAGTAGAGATTCTCTCGTGTATACTGCCAAGAGGATGAAGAGAGAAAAAGTTGAGCCATTATGTAGTAAGAGTTAGGAGGAATATAAGTTTAGAATAGCATAGCAGTATATTGGGTATGGAGATCAGAGGCAGCATCTTTTATGGATGGGTGGGGACAGCAGGATGGGGGATATTTGTTTAGAACAAAATGGAATAGGTTAGCTTTCAGCTTGGTAGAACTGAAGACTGAGAGGGAAATGTGACTGCAGATTAAAATGTGCAAGCTGGGAGAAGTTTTTCAGGGAAATGAGAGATTGCAGAAGATAGAATGTACTGGGAATAAATAGCTATGAATACAGTTAGGCTTGCAGCTAGAAACTGGCTTAGAACAAGGCAGTCAAATTCTAGGTGAACCTTCTAATAATATTAATGAAGGTAAAATTGTGCTACTTCTATAAAACAGGATTAACTGACGCTGTGCCTACAATAGATAAGAATTGTAACTGATGCAGCAGAGTTGTGGCTGTGTTCTTTCCTGTTGAGGAATATAAGGAGGTTTTAGCATACAAGCTGACCCCAAGATTGCTTTCCTGTGTGCCTTTGTGCCATATCACCTTTCTTCTTCCTCTGTGCTAGTTGCATTGACGTGTGTTTTCTCCTTCAGTATCTTGTTACGGAATGGCTGAATGACAAGGCAGAAAAGCAGGAGTGCCCTATTGAATGCCCTCTGCGCATTACTACAGACCCAACAGTTTTGGCAACAACTCTAAATATGTTGCCAGGTCTCATCCACTCCCCGCTAATTTGTACCACACCTAAACACTACATTCGTTTTGGATCACCTTTCAACCCGGAGAGGCGTCGAAGGCCCTTTCTGTTGGATGGAATTTACAGCTCCTGTAAAAAGGTATGTTTGCTCATGTCTTACCTTTGGGGGCTGTATACTCATCATGCTATTACTGGCGTGATTGTAAATCTGTCCTGTTCTCTTTGAGCCTGTTTCCATGTATTCGTGCTGAGCTGGCCTTGTCTGGTGTCTTGAGGCAGTCTGTAGGTGGTGACTGCTGACCCTCTCTTACCCAGGGTTCAGGTCTTCATCCTTGCTTTTTACTGTAGCAGAACTGTTCTGTGATCTCCTTTGAAGCATTTATTTTTGCACCTGTAGTGGCTGTTTATTATCCAGCATACCTGATTTGAGGGGTTTAATTGTTACCTTTAGAGTGCATTTCCTCACTACTTTCACAGCCAGAAGATGATTGGTGTTGTGGGGGTAGGACAGTGTTCCAGAACACCTTGGGAATATAGTGCTTCAGTCAGGTTCTGCTCTCTTTGGAGAGCCTGTGTTATTTAGCAGAGCCTTTCACAAGAGCAAGCCCATGGCTCTCTTTTTGGGATCACAAAATAGCTGTCTATTTGTGGCCCTGTAGGAAGCCTAAGCTGAGTCCAGCTGAGTATTTTGTTTCTCCAGAGGTGGTATGTGGCCAGCAAATGCTAGCATTTACCCATCTACAGGGAAACAGTAGTTCAGTCACATTTCTATCTGAATCCATCTTGCTTGTCACCTGTCAGCTTTGCTCAGAGGCTTTTCCAGTTCCTGTATAATTAATTACCTGAGAGCAACTTTATGGAAATCCTCTCTGATCTCGCAGTCTTGGTGGCCCTCAAAGTTAGGCACCACGTCCTGGTTTCCTTGCCCTCTTTTGCGGGAGTTATTCCAAAGAGAAGTTTTGGACTTCGCTATTCTCACCTCCAGCCAATTTGTTGCCTTATGCTAACACATGCTTAGGGAAAAAAAAAGTCTCTCCTCATTATTTCCTTCGTAGATACAGCTCTGATGGTTCATGTATACTCATGGGAACAAAGTCCTGTTTGCTTCCATGGGCAATCTTCCCATGCATCTTTTGTTACCTTTGGCTATTTTCTAGTCATACAGTAATTGTGACTCCTTGAGAGAGAATGGAATAGTCTCACTATGGACTTCTTTCATTTGCTCCACGTCTTTTTGAAGTCAGTGAACATTGTTTTGCAGCTCAGGCATTCTCAATGCTGAATAAAGCAGAAAGCTACTTTGTGTCATGTAGCCTATACCTATTTGTGCTTCCCAGTATGACAACTGAATTTTCTTTTGACAGGTTGATTTAGACCTGTTCATTCTGTGATTTACCATGTTTGTTACAAAAAATCCATTTTTTTCAGGGCCATAATTTTAGAAGTGATTGTTTCTGCCTTTGTATGGTATTTTCTTCTAGTCTGTATTGAGCTGTGTCCTGTTTTTTCCCATCCATTTCCCAGTTTGCAAAGAAAATGTTGAATGCTGTCTCCTAGCATGTTCTTGTTCCTCCTAGGCTGACATAATCTGAAAACTTAAGCACACTGCCTGTTCTGTTACCTAAATAATTAGTGAAACATTGCAGGATTCGGTGTCCAGAACCTATGTTGCAGATTTTTTAATACATTTCTACTTTTTGAAATAAAATAATTTATAACTGCTCTAATAAGGATTTTCATCTGCTTTATAGGAGTTCCCCAGTTTTTCCACGGAAAAGACTGCTTGCTAGCATTTGGTGTTTTTATCACTGCTACTGAGAGCCTGGAGATGTAGGAAAAGGTCTGCTTCTCGTGCTCAGGAATGTTCAGAAAGCTCTCACAAGGAAGACCTCCTTTTCAGCTAGCTAAGGTCTAGAAATGGTCCAGAACTTGATGATATTACTCTCCTATGACCTGATCTTTGTTGTTTCTTCTTGATTATTCAGTCAGGAATGATGATTTATAAAGGTCGCTCAAATAGATCACATGTATTTTCTTGGATTGTCTGCAGGTTTCTTCTTTAATCTACTGAGAACTGTGCCAAAAAACTAAGCTGATCTCAACTTGCATTCAAAGCATGCCAATATCTGAACCTTACAGGGAAATTGAACTGGCAGATCAGATGCCACATTTGAGGTAGCAGTGCTCCACAATGACTGGCTAGCACTCCACACCCTTTGTAGTGGCTGCAGTGTAATTCGCTGAGATAGATTTGAACAAAGAAAGTGTCTGCTGCACGGTAATGAAGGCCATCAGAATAGATCCTGCTCTTCACCTTTACTTTAAAGAATTGTGACCACTGAGTTTCTGACACACTTCCATGGTAGCTTGAGGAATCATACACTACATATGTGTAACTCTGATAAGACACATTGCTGATGTACAGAAGAACTAACTGGGTTACTGAAAAGCAAAGTTATGATCTTAAACCTTTCTTGGAGAATAAAAGACTTGTGAAGTGAATCTCTTGGGTAATCTGCCTCCTGTCATCTGGCTGAATTACCTTTTTGTTCTCCATTTTGTATTTATTTTTTATAATAAAGTAACTGAAGGTTTCCTGCCTGCCATCAGGAGTTGGTTTGGATCAAGACATGGAGCTAGCACAGCCACTGTAACAGCTCGTTTGATGAGTCTTCAAGTTCACATCCATGTTCTAAAGACCGCCGTGATTTTTATCTCTTTTATTAGTAGCTGAAGAAAAGATTCCTTTTTTTTTCTTTCTTTTTGTTCTAACCCCCCCTTGAAAACTGCTGCTTGTGTTTTATCAGATGTTTCTGTTCTTTTTTTTCTGCCTGGAAGCAAGCACAGTGCTGGAAGAACTATGTGACTAAGCTCAGCCATTTCTCAGGGGAATTGTTAGAGCAGAATCTATGTAAGGCGCTAATATGCCTTAGTGAGGCAGTGTGCTCATGCTCCTTAGCAGGAAACAAGATTTTGCAAAAAACAAGGTTTTAAGATACAACTCATTTTTATTAATGAAGCTTGTTTCTAGTAGCTCTTGGCTGCCAGCTTTTTAAATTTTATTTATAATTTGTTTTTTGTTTGTTTTTTACTTTTGTTATTGCTGAAGACTTGTCGCTAGTATACATTTCATCAAGAGCACGTAGTCAGATCCATCACAGTAGCTGTTAGTATGTGTGAAGAAGGTAATCTCAATGTTCTGAGCAGTTTGCCCCACTGCACAGTAGTGTAGGAGTTGAAGTACATCCTGCAAGATTACACGGAAAGTACTGGAGGGGTTGCACGTTTATGTAGTCTCGTTCCGTTTCAGCGCTGGATCAAACAAGCCCTGGAAGAGGGGATGACTCAGACCTCACCAGCTCCACAAGAGAACAGGACCCAATGTCTATACCAAAGTAACGAGAACAGCAGTTCTTCCAGCATCTGCAAAGATGACACAGGTGAGTACTGAGCACCATGAGGGCACTTGAGTGAAGCTGGGGAAGCTGCTGAATAACAAAGGCAGTTTTGCAGGTTGACATCTTAATGTGTACTGCTGCTTCATGGTACATCTTTCTGACAGGTGAGAATGTTACTTTGCCATTCATTCAAATTTCTGTAGACGCATTCTAGCTTTGAGCATCATATGTTAAATTTCTCAGTATTTTCCTATGAAAAGGCAATCACTTTATCTTGCATCATTGACCCCAGTGTCACGTAATCATTTGTCCAGTGGTGGGAGGGGAAGTACAATTTAATCTCTCTTCAGCAGGATGCTGTTAGATGGACAAAAAATCTGCTGACTATAGAAAGATGTAGCAAAGTCTGAGAGGCATGTATGTAATGAGCAAATCAATCTCAAAGATGGAGGAGCTCAAATCTGTGAGGAAAGCAGCAGGATGGTTAAGTATTTTGTCTGAATCTTTCTGCGGAGAAAGAAGTTGAGAAGATCCACCTGAATGTCCAAGAATGACAGGCAGGAAGCTAGATAATATGCAGATAATAAAAAAGTGATTATTGAAAAGTTAAATTATTGAGAAACGAACAGAGTGCTAGAACCATTAAAAGCACATCCCTGAGAAATACCTGAAGAAGCAAACAACTAAGCTGCAAGATTTACTTAATTGTTAGGTTTTTTTTTAACTGCACATCAAAAAAGATATTATGGAAAGGGATTAATCTTTTGTGGGAGTAAAATATGTTTGAACTGCATTGATATTTCATATAGGGTTGAACTTGAACTACTGGGTTCAAGTAATGAAAACTGCTGTTTGTGATTTGTTCATAGCAGTGATACTGACGTTTCCTTCTGACCCTCCCCTATGCTATATGCCTTCCTGGCTCCTGTGCCCCTAGCTCCCTCTTGTGCTTCTTTTCTACTAGCTGAAATATTTTCTTTTCTTTCATGACAGTGTTGGAGATTCATGGGCTCCATTTGGGTTGGGAGCAGGGGAAAGGAGATGGTGTGTGATTTGCAGTTGTTAATGGTGCAGTCTTATCCTCAGTTCACTTTATTTTTCAGATTTGCTGAGTCCCCTGAAGAAATGGAAGTCTCGCTACTTGATGGAGCAGAACGTTAAGAAGCTGCTGAGGCCTCTGTCTCCTGTTACCCCTCCGCCTCCCATCCCTTCAGTTCCTGGCTCAGTGAGCCCACAGCTGGCTACGCCCTGCTCATCTGTGCCAGGAGAGGAGGAAAGTCGCAATGGTTATGGTGTGATGTTCTCACCAATTCCTTCTCTGGCTGCTAGTCGCTGCAATACTCCACTACAGTTTGAGGTAAATCCAACTGGAGGCTCGAAATGCCAAAAAGAGAGGAACTGGAAGATAAGCCACAGAGGTAGCATTAGACACACCTTCCTTTTTTAGTATGCAACTATCTTCCTGAGCAGCATCATGATGGCAGACTCAAGTACTGCTGCCTTTTTCTTCTACTCCACTTCTGTCCGTAGCAAATTTCTTTCTCCATTAAATTTCAAACCTCGTAGCAGCCCAGCCTCCCCTCACATCACATCAGTAATATTAGATTGGTTCTTTTCTTCATTTCTACGACTCCCATAATTTGCAGGATCTTCAGTGTTCTTCAGTCATCTTCCCTCCTTCATCTCTCATTGCCCATGTGGTTCCCAGTCCTCCATGTCTCTTCCAAAGAGTGTAACAGTGTTCTAGTTTCCGTAGGCTGTCTGACACATCCTCAGCTTCTTTTTCCCTCGACAGATTTCAATCATCCAAAATATGGTAGAAATATTTTACATCGCTTTCCCCTGCGTTCTTCATTTCTCCTTTTTCTTACTGGTGTAGCAAGTCAGTACTTTATGCCTTTGATTTCATGACAGCTTCCTTATGTGCAGAAGTACTGAGCAGGCTATTTAGGTGGATTTCCTTGCTCTCAACTGAGCGAGAGTTATGTGAATCTATCCAGCCAGGACTTTCCACCTCCATTTTGTGTTGCATTTCTTTATGTGAATAGGAATTGTGCTGTTTGTAGTTTATTTTTAGTTTATAGTATTGCATATTTTCATTTAAAAAATTGAAGAAAAAAAAGTCTGCTGCTCAGACTCTGCCATTTAAAACTATTAAAAATAATTCTGTGCAGTGACAGACTGCTCTATACTGGAGACTGTTTTGCTCCCTCATCTGCTTTGCAGCAGAGCAAAAAGTCCTTTGTGGTATTTTTAGCTTAGTGTGCTTCTGATTATTTTCTTTGAGAACTGTTTTTTGTAAGGTGTCTGAAAGGCATATCTGTGGAGGTCAGCAGGGAAGATTGTGGAGCACTGAGGAGAGAGATGAAAGGCTGTTTCAGGCACAGAGCTTAATTGTAAATTGTCCTTACTTCTGCTGTGGTTGAGGTAGTAGATCAGAACAATGTTTCTGTACCTCCACAGTCTAATCACTGATTTTCAGTCTCACCTTAGCATGTTGGTTGCAATGTTAGAAGCCTGTATTTCACTATGTTTGTATATGCTTGCCCCATTTACCTTTTTTCCCTCTAGACCATAGGCAGCTTTGTTCAAATTTCCGCATTTCTCTAAACACAGCTCGTTCATAACAAGTCTGTTTTAATGTCATGTCTGTTTCATTTAGTTCTTCATTCTAACTTGAGAGAATATGTCTCACAAAATAAACTCATTCAAAGGTTTGTACTTTAGTCCTGTGGCCGTATAGCATTGTGAGAAGAAAACTACAGTGATTCTTTTATTGGTTTACAAGCCTCCTAGAGTGAGCAGGTGATGATGTACTGCTGGCTTGCTGGGGAATCATCGAATCATAGAGCCATAGAAACCGCTGAACTTGACAGAGTTAGCATGAATTATGGGCCAGTTCCTGGGATAGCCTTTGCTTAGAGTAGCCACTGCTAACCTCTATGCTTGTTTTTAATTGACTTCATTTTGCTTCTTGAGTGCTCATCTATATGAATAACAAGATGCTTTCCCTCCCTTCAGAACGTATCCTCCCCTGAGAGTTCCCCTGCGCATAGACCTGAGTCCATGTCACCTGAGGTAGGTATCACTACCTCAGTTGTGTTCGAAATGAAGAGCATGTGTGCTAGTGTTTATTTGAGGCCTCGGTGAGATGGGAGGGATGAGAAGTTTGGGGCTGTTGGGAACAAGGGTGGAACATTAGTTGTGATAAGACTGAGCAGGCTTTTCAGGATTATCACTAGAGAGAAAACAAAGCAAAATGAAATTAACTGAAGATGAATTATTCATTTGTTTGATTATTCGTTTGTTGACATTGGTAGGAAACAGGTTGTGTAAAGACCTGGTATACCTCAGTTACTGAGATATAGACAAGAGATGTGGGGTTGCTGGAAATAGCATCAGCCCCAGCCCAGGAAATGAGTGGTGTGTGATACTTAGTAAGTAGCAGCAAAATGACAACTGGGGAAGAAATAGGAAAGAGTTGGTTATTTAGACTAGCTTATGGAGGCAGAGTAGGGGCACCTGACCTGCCCTTTTCAGCCTTGATTTACGTCTTGTTCACTTGCAGTCTTAAAATGTTGAAGAGGCATGAGATAGTAGTACTTTATTTAGCTGCTGGCCTGTTGTGAAACACGAGGTGAAATAGTCTGAAACTGTTTCACAGTGGAAAATACACATTCATCTCTAGTGTGGCAGATTATTGGGGCTGTAAAACAAGAGGAAAAATACTTCAGCAGCTGCAGTAGGGCGGATCTGGTGCCTGGTGCTGCTGTGTTTTCACTAAGCACTGTAGTCCTGCAAAGAACATGAAGTCGTGTCAGTTATGTTCATTGTCTGAGATCTTGACGACACGGTGAAGGAGACCATCATTTATTCCTTTGCCTGGGAGGTTTTTGGCACTTAAAGTAGTAAAATGGATATACCATTGTATCAGTGCCTAGTGTTCAGAAACTATGACAGTGCAAAGATGATGCCGTTACGCCTTTGTTAGAGAATGTAAAATGTAGAAATGCAGTATAAATTAAATGAATGGACTATTGTTAGAGATTGCTGAAAATGAGATGTGAAAACAACTGGTTTGGGGATTCTGGACATCATATTGTTAGGGAGTCAGTAGTGGTTGCCTTGGGGCATTCAAGAACTTGGCCAATAAAACAGCAAACGAACACCAAATCTCTTCTGTTTTCTCCTGAGAGTGAACCTAGCTAGCATGAACTGTTAATGTCAGCTCTGGGACATTTGGGGTGATCAAAGATGCTTTTTTTTTCCCTTTCATTGACTGGACAGGGATAATGCTGAGTCTTGCCCTCTGCTGCGTTAAGACTTTTAAAGGGAGAAAGGGCATCTTGTACTAGACAGCTAAACTGGATTACTATTTAGTCCCAGTCATTCCCTTCTAGAACAAACAGAACAGTGCAGCACAGTGTCAAAAGGGTGATTAAAAACAAAAAGCAGCTGGAAAGCAGGAAATTCGCATTGTACAGAATGTTTTCTGACTTAAGTTTCTCTCCCAATCCCTGCCTGATCCTGATCCTTTTCCTGACTTCCTACCCCATCCTATGGCCTTCCTGGATTTTGTAGCTCTGCCTCCGATCTGACGTGGATTCCAGTGCAAACACCTGCCCAGAACGGCCGTCGCTGCTCAGCTTTGGATCCTCTGATCTGGCTCCACAACCTTCCATAAACTCTACTTCAGAGACAAACTTCCCAGGAAAAAGTGGGGAAGCACAGATGCTGCTACGAAGCTCTGATCAGGCTTTTCGGACAGAGTTTAATTTAATGTATGCCTTTTCCCCATTGAACGCTATGCCACGTGTAGATGGCTTGTTGCGGGGATCTGCCTGTCTGGGCGACAGGAAGCCAGTGAACTCAGAAGCAGGATGCTGCAGCTCTCCTTCTGAAGGATATTTCAGCAGACATGAGTCAGGACTGCTTAAAGAGACAGCGCATGGATCCATGTCTCCCTGCAGCGAGAGGGCTTGTGAAGGTGTCCGATCTGCTCCCCAGAATCCACCACAAAGGAAGAAGGCAAGTATTCTTGTATGAGACATTCTAGGGCTGCAGAAATTCTTTCACATGAGGAAGGCATGCAGGGAAAGATGAAGCTTTTTTTTTTTTTTTGAGGAATATAACTAAAATAAACTTGGCAAGTAATCCAGGTGTCCAGTGCCTGGGCGGAATCAGTAAAGTGGTTAAAAGAAAGGGAGCTACCATTTAGACAAGATTCTGATGTGAGAGTTCGGGTGAGGGCTTCAAAATCACATCAGAAATACCTCTTCTGGGGAGCACAGAAAGGGAAGCGTAGTGCTGGTAGACTTCATAAACAGCTGTTAAAGAGAGGCAAGAGCCAGAGTAATAACAAAGTGCAAGTTGTTTTATTGGTGGAGGTGTAACTTGGAAGGAGAACCCAACATTTTGAAAGAAAATATGGGCTGTTTGCTGGAAAGGCTTAATAATATAGGAAGGTAGCACAGGAAAAGTAGGTGAAGATTGTTAGTAAACTTTAGCACTTTGAAACTAGAAGCATGGGAGTATTGTTTAATAGAAAGTGAGTACTGGTTTCTAGTAGTAAGCCAGTGATCCACAGGGAGCTAAAACTGAGTAGAAGTGATAATCAGACATTGCTGTGATAAAAACAGATACTGATAGGACAGATAAACATACACTTGTGCAGGTATTTATCAGTGCCTTACCCTGTGCTCAGACTTTTCTGGCAAGTATGGCAAGTTGGGTCAAGTCTCCAGGTGGCTGGAAGATCTTTTTTATGATTGATTTTTTTGGTTGCACTTATCTTAAAAACTTCATACATTGAGTTACTTTTGGAAATACCCTGTTCAGCACTTTAACATTGCAAAGATTTGTATGCAGACATTGAACTGTAGTTAAATTCTTCAGCAGTTTCCTTCTGTGAGTCTTTCATGAGGGACTATGCCTCATAATAAGGGGAGGCAGGCAGAAAGGTAAGCACTCAACTGGAAATACTTGTGTAATTTTGGTCCTGCTGTCCTGTGATGCAAGACAGCATCATGGGATACTTTAATCTGTACCTTTTACAAATCTGAGACTGATTTGCACAAAATATATACCATCTTTATTAGAGGAATATAATTTACTTAAGTAATAATGTTGGAAGTGTGCAACACTGACTGCTGAACCACCATAGTGTGAACCTGCTCTAAGCAGGCTAGAATTCTGTGCTGAGCTCTGCCAAGTCACAGGTCCCCTACACAGTTCAGTGTGGCTGAAGTGGTACTGGTGAACAGGACTCTCTAAAAATCAGTTCAGTGAAGAAGGCTCTTATTCTCAGGTTTCTGAGATGTACAGGTGTACTGATATGCATTGTCTTATGTCACAAACCAAGGAGTGGTGGAGGAGGTGAGAAGCAGTATGAAATTTCAGAAGCAAACCAGCCATATATTTCTTCTGAAGTACCAGTTGTAAATGTGGGTAAGTGGGGCAGTGGTCCAAATTTGAATCATTTAGCTCTTTTTCCAGATTGCCTGCAGATTCAGGAAGATTTATAGTCCCAACGTAACTTCTAAAGTTTCATCTGCAAAGAGAAATAATTTTTAAAATGATGTGTAGGCATGTTCTTTCCCCTAACCTTGTCCCTTGCTTTCCCTGACTCATAGCTGCATTTTCCTTGCAGGTATCTCTACTAGAGTACCGCAAGAGGAAGCAGGAAGCCAAGGAGGGAGGCGATTCAGTGCGATGCACAGGGACTCCTACCCGGCAGGGCAGCAGTGGTTCTGGGACTGACACAGATGCCAGCAGCCTGCCAGGCTCTGTAGTACGAACCCCGTCCTCCCCACAAAGTGGCTTCTCCCCTTCTCATCCTTCCTTGCCTCACGTAGAGGACATCAGCCCGCCAGACTCAAGGGGGACTAGTTCCTCAGCATCACTCTGCAAATCCCAAGAGAACATCAGCAGCAGGTGGTGAGTGTTATCCTTCTGAGCAAGGCTCTGCAGAGATGAACCAAACTCCAGGGGGGGGAGGGAGGAGGGCATTTCTGTTGTTCTGTAATTGCAGTGGGATGGATTCTGTTGAGTGTCTTGGCATAGTTCTCTTTCTTAATTGCTAAACTGAAGAATACCAGCAGCCTTCTCAGCATGCCCTTTAGTTCTTAGTTTAGATATCAAAAATCTGCCTTGAAAGATGAAGTTAAACAGTTCTCTGTTCCACCAGTTTCCTTTTAAGGTCCCAAGTTTGAAGGACTTAACTTGTAATGAGAATTTAATCTAGGTCTAGGTTAAAAGGTCTTTTGTTGTTGAATTTCCACTCTGTTTTAGACGTATGTGAGACAAAGTTGGTCTTTTCAGAAAGGGAAAGCTGATGGAGCCCTCCGCAACCTCGCGTGTGAGAAGCAGGGACAGGGGAACAGCCTCAGCTTTCCTGTGCCTTGCACAAATAGGCTGCAGTTAGTTTGCCCAAAGTGTAACAAAATCTCCCTGGTGTGTTCCAGTGTGAAGATTTAACATGGGGAAAGTTTTCAAAGTTTTCAAAGACTTTTAATAGTAATGCCTGATCACCAAAATGAAAAACTGCTGTGCTGAAATGCAGAGTATTGAGTTGTATAGTCTGTACATATGGTCTGTATACGTGGTGATGGTTGGAATTTAGAATGTTCTGCTAGCTGGAGTGATGTAGTACAGTGGCTTTGCTGCCTTTTATTCATGGTCTGTTTGTGGAGAGTGCAGGTGTACAGGCGTGCCATTTGTAGCACTCACTTGGCACATGTGCAGCTGTGTCACTGCTTGTGCCATGGCAGGGTGTGGGAAGATAAAAAAAGAGGCTGAGCGGTGCTGAAGACTGCAAGAAATGTGAGGTGTATAGTATCTGAGAAACATTGGTTTGGATGAATTTACAGGAATCATAAGATGTGCTTTCTTCCTTTTTACAGACCTTCCCCACCCCAAATATCCACACTCTTCCAGTGAAAATTTAAGAGAAATCATTTATCTTGCGATAGCACTCTGTCTACCTGCTGACCTTCTGCCAGGAGTCAGGACTGACAGCAGCTGGGACAGGCAGCTGATGATTAGTTCATGATTATTTTGTGGAAGTGTTGTTATCACCTGCCCTTTTCCTCCCATGCCACCTTTTTCTGCCAGCAAAAAGGTGAAAGAAAAATCCAGCTGAATGGGAAAAAAGTCTTAGTTGGAGATGAAGTGTCTGTGGTAACCTTGCTCCAGCATGGGGCTTTCTGTTCTGTTTGCTTCATCTGCTTCCCCTCAGCAGATGCTCTGGCTTCAGTTTATCACATGATTTCAAGAGTTGTGGGATTCAATATGATATTGTCGTAGGACTCTGAATATAAAAGTTGAAGCCATGCTGATGTGTTTTGAAATAGGATTAAGCAGCTGTGCTGCCTTTTTTTTTTTTTAATCCCTGTTCTTCTGTCTTTTAATGATCAAGGCTAACAATCTTACAGTCCCCTTCCACTTGAAAAAGAAACAGGTATTAGAAGCTGCATGTTACAGAGTTAAACTTGCAAACCAGTCTCATCTTTAACTCTGGGCGCTTACATTTCTGATACATTTCCAGACATTCACACTAGTGTAATACAAGGGAAGAAGAAAATGGTGGGATCTAAAATTTCATGCCTTAATTTTCATTTGTCCGGATTTTTGCTGAATTCTACACTATTTACCAATAGCTTTCATTTAAAAAAAATTAAGTTTCTGTCTCTTTCAGTTGCCAAGATACAGCCATCACTATGTAAACAGATGTGCTGCTGCCCAGTAAACCCAGCCTTGCAGAAAACTGTCTCCAGCAAAACAATAGCAGCAACGAAGGTGTGAATTCACCCCCTCACCCCATTCACCTCCATGAGGTGTGAACTGTGGCCCCTTCTCCCTTCTGCTTCAGTGAGGGGTGAACTTCAATATCTGGGCTATTAAATAAATTTTTAAAAGCTAATGTAAAGCACAGTTTTTAATATATCTTTAAAAATATATATTAAATACAGGACATACATTCTTAGACTGCATATTTGCATGATATGCAGTATGTTTGATGTAATGTTTGAATATAATCATATAATATTTGGGCGTTTTTAGGGCACACATTTTTCAGTGTCTGGGATAAGGCATCATGAATCCCTGATGGAAGTTTTTACAGGTTGAAACATATAACATTAAAGAGATTTGGATGGTCCAGTGCGTGGTAGGTGCGTGGCAGGGATCTGGGGTGTGTCAGTGGCTCTGCTTCTGTAGATTGGCTTTAGGAAAGCCACTTCACTTCTGTTTTCCAGCTTTAGACCAAATGCTTGTAACAAATGACGAAATGAGGTCTAGCACCAATCTTGAGAGTTTTTACACAAAATAAATGGGACAAAGTAGCAGTAATGGACAGAATGATCACAGTAGCTCTGCTCCAGGAACAGTGCATTATCTGACTACTATGTTGACATTTTATTATCATAAGATGCTGGTTTTCCTTCTTTTTAGTTTGAATAAAAGTAATCTGTGTAAAATAACTACACATAATTTTAAGACAACAACAGGTTTTCAGAATGCTGTTGAATCTTGAAACAACTTTCTGGGACAGAGTGTCCTGTAATCAGGTGATCTACTGAGCTGAATGTTTATAGCATACTTCTGATAAAAGATCTTGTTTTTCTCAGGGCAGCATTATCATAGTAGCCAGTGATGAAGAGTCTAAAATTCCACAGGAGCTTATCTGTGTTGCAAAAGCAGTGCAGAATTTTATTATTCCTCCTCTGTCTTAGAGAGCTGGTATTCTCTGATCCCTCCATTCCATGGTATATGTTTGCAGCTGCAGTGACTTCATATCAGTGAATTTCAGTAGAAATCTTTGAGACTTCAAAGACAAACCTATCTTGTAAATACACCCAGGACCCCCCCAGCCCCCTTGTGCATTGGTCACATTGGTTTCAACTGTGTAACAGCAGTCCTCAGCCGTTACTGTTTTTTTTGTTGCAGGATGGTCCCAACGTCAGTGGAGAGGCTTCGAGAGGGCCGAGGTATACTTGAGAAGGTGCTACGAAGTGGTGCAAAGGTATCCCAGAGAAATGAATCCTCACCTACCTGTGACAGCGCTGTTGAGAGAGATGCAGGTAGGAGGAGCTTCTGAGTTCCTTGTTGGTGGGGAAATGATGGGCTCACCTTTGTAACCTTGCCTATGAAGTCGTTTGTACCTTCATCTCTAGTATCACCAATGCCTGATAAAGGCCTTCTGCAAACCATACTCTGTTACTCGGATGATATTGCCTGAGCCTGTAAACATCTCCTGTTAGACCTGGAAAGTGTCCAGTTCTATCCAGAGTTTGGATTCAAGATCACCTGTATTTTGGCTCTGGCAGTGACAGCTTCTTTGCCCTTGGATAGATGAGTTAACTGGCATTGCCTCAATTGTACCTGTGTACTGGGAATATGAGGGTATTCTAGTACCCTAGTACCCTTAATAATTCTAGTTGGCTGAACATCCAAATAAATGTATCACTTGCTAAAATGCATGTTTGCTTCAGGCAGGGGTAAGAGCTAATGTAGCTTCCATACCTTACCTCATCTTTGTTTTGAAGTTACTTGATTCCTTGAGTTGTGATGCTTGTCAGTTTTGTGAGATAAACTTAATCACTGAGATGAACTCAGTTCTGCCTTGCTGTTCCTTCCTTCTGTGACTTAATGGGTTGTTCTCACTGAGTAGCACACAGGGTCAATGAGTGCTTGTGACATGAGCTGAACTTACATCCCTCTGTTATCCACTCGGGATTAAAGGTCAGATGTGACTTCCTGTAAGGTGGGCAGATCACTTTATCATTGCCCGATTTCTTAGCTGTGATATGGAGTTATTTGTCTTCTATTTACAGTCCCGTTGAATATGATTGCAGTTTTTCCTAACAGATAGTGCCCAGTATGTAACAGAACCCTGCTCTCCCTTGTGATTTATGATGATGGATCATCATGTTTAAATAACTTAGTCTGTATTGTATTGATCTCTGCTTCTTCACTGTTGAGAACTATTAAGGACTCTCTCACTGATATGGTTATAGCTTGCTGATGATCTGTAGTAGGGATCTGGATCTCTCTGCAACATCTTCTTTCGATGCATTTTCTTCATGTAGTCTTAAGAGATTCTCTTTGGACTTGTCAAAAATGCCAGTGATTTAATGGAACCCAACTGTAGTTCTCTTTCGTGTCTTTCTCATTCAAATGGAGGTGGAAAAGAAGCACTTCTCACTCCTACTTTGTGTCCTTCTTCCTTGTGCAGATATTAAGAAATCGTAGAGGGAAGCATTGGCCACTTTGTCTGGTTAAGATTGCATAAAGCAAATTCAGGAAAGTTTACAGTTTATTCATCTTCTGTAATTTAGACTCTCTAGGTAGCCTTCACTCCCCAAGGATTATTTTGTGTGTAAACACTGCGTCTAATATCTGCAGCACTGTTTATGTAATTGGCCTTTTAAGAAACAATTTCTTCTGGAATCTTTAGATTTCTTCTGATTCAACTTCTGATCTCCTGGCTTGAATAGTTAGTCTCTTCTGTGCAAGACTGCTTAACAAAACATGCCTTGACTGCAATCTTTGCCTTTCTGCAGTGCGGTACTCAGAATGTCACCCGCAGCAAACAGCTACTCGGTGCTTTGGATGTGGTTTCAGGAAATGGAAGGTGCCACAGGATATATGGTGGAAGCTTCTTGTATCAGCCTCTGTGCAGGTCTTGTGCCCAGGGGAAAGATGTCTGATCCTCAACAGCAGAGAAGACAATTCCATCCAGGTTCCTGTTCGGCTGTGCCAGCAACCATGATGTAGCACAGGACAACAACCACAACAAATCCATGGGCACTGCTGGCACTGATGCTCATGCCAGTGCATCTGGTACAAAGCCAGACCTGCCTGGCAGACATACAGAGCAGACTAATGCAGCGTGTCCTGTTTCAGGACTGAGAGACATCTGTCATGTAAATTTGATACTAACACCAACACTATTTCACCAAGGCATTTCAAACGCTGCTGCTGAGAATCCCTGAGATGCTGCGGATAAACAGCTCCATCTCATCAGACTGCAACATCATAAATCTGATGTGAAATCTTCTGGTCCCACTGGTTTCCCTCTCTTCAAAACAAAGCACGATCACTTGCTAAATCCCATGGTTATAGTAGTGGCAACAGACAAACACACAGGTCAGAGTGACTGGGTCACTTGCTGAACTTACTTCTTGTCTGTCTCAGTTGAGGTTCAGTTATTTGCTGGGACAAAAAATTCACTTGCTCTCTAGGATCAGGGCGTTGGAAGGGCTTGCTAAGAAAAAGGTTATTCCTTTTTCTCTCTCATGTAGCAATGATGCATCAGTGCTGCTGATACCTTTTCGCCATCTTGGTCAGCATTTTCTGAAATCTAAGAGTAAGCTGGTTTGGAGCAGCCCGCTGGGTTCTAAAGCATGTTCCCCAGCATGGCAGCAGAGGTGCAATCAGCCTTGGCAGCGTGGGACTTCAGTCTTGGGCAGTGCCTGGATCTGCCTTTGAGGAGAGCCAGTGGCAGGAGCCTGCTGACAGCCCATCTAAAAAGGGGTAGTTTTATTTCTCCAGCTGTAACTATAGCCAGTGAGGATTCCTATGGCCAAAATTGAGTGGAGAACTGCTGAGTCCTTAGAAACTGTCTTCTGCCTCTTGTGTCATTCTGGAAAGCCCCAGGAGCACACGCAGCCTGTGAGCTGTCACTGATGCAGCCATTCAGATAAGCTGGGTCAAGACAAGTGAGCTTTGCACTAAACCAGAATCAGTGTAAGGGAAGCAGCAGTGCCTAATGTGTGTGACTGTTGTGAGTCACGTGAATGTTTACAACTGCCTTCTGTTAGGATTCTTCAGCTTCCAAAAGGCCGCTGACTGGAGGAAGCCACTCTGCTCTCAGCTGTAGCTGGAGACAGAACAAGACAGCTGCAGCTTGCAGGTGTCACTTGAGAGGGAAGTGTGGTGACCTCAGTCCAGGGGTGAAGTGTAACACGTTGCCTATGCTGTGCATTGCAGATACAGCAGGAGGAGACACTCCAGAAGCCCACAAAGGACCAGCAGTTTACAGTCCTTCTCGATACAGCTACCAGGTAAATTCTGCCATTTGTTATCTGCCCATTCAGAATTAAAGCTTTAGACAGCATTAGCAGGAAGGAAGCTGTATTGAGCTGTCAGTTATTCCCAGTCCTGATGTACTAAGCAACTAGAGTATGATGAGGTAGGAAATAGGGAATTGTGTCTGATGTCTTTTCTTTTTTCTCCCACCAACATGTTCAGCTCCTGCAGTCTGACAGTCCCCAGGCAGAGTCGCAGACCCTTCTCCAGCAGAGTTCCTCCCCGTACAGAGGACACCTGACTCCTTCTCCTGGCTACAGCTACCGAGCGGCAGCACAGAGGACAGGACACAGCCTCTCCCACAGTTCCTCAGAAACGTCCCTCTCCTCTTCCTCGTATTCCAGCCCTGCCCACTTGGTTTCCACAGACTCCTCTGCCCTGTTTGCAGGGAATTCGGGGTATTACAGCAGCCAGCAGCATTCTGGCAGTGCCGGCAGCAGCCTCCTGAAGAAGAGCTGCCCAGCTGCTGCCAGCCCAGCACAGCAAATGGCGGTGGACTCTCTTTCCTCAGAGTCTGGCTCTCAGCCCTGCACAGGAGCGTCCAGCTCCACCTCAGCCCCCCAAAGCTCTAGGTCACTACAGTCAGACTTGCGGACTATCAGCCTAGCGAGCTCTGGGCAGTCAGTTCTCTACCAGGGCTCCCGGGGGGCGGTGATTTCCAGTGCACAACACTACCCACACCGAGGGGGCAGCAGCGTCCATCAGTACAGACTGCAGCAGATTCAAGGTTCTGGAGTAAAGACTCAAACAGGACTTTCCTAGGGCTGCTTGGACTCCAGGAGGAACAAAACTGCCCATAGCTCCTTCCAGTTACCTCTGGAAGTGGCTCCTGGGCCGGTGTTGGGAGGTCGCACCCGAGGCTGGGTGCCGGGGGTCAGAGGCTGAGGTCTGAATGCACGGGTGAGATTTGTGAGCAGTATTGGCCTCTGGCCTTGCATGAGAAAGCAGATTTCTCTGAGGCAGAGACTGTAGCAAAGCTGTTCCCTGATGTGTGAGTACATTGCAAAAGGAAAAAAAAAAAAAAAAAAAGAAAAAAAAAAAAAGCAAATGGTTCAAGTGCAATGACTGTGGTGCAGCCTCTGTCTCTTGTCCGTGCCCATGGCCATAGTCACTCATGCAGTACGGACATCTTTTTTGATACAAATGCAGTTTAAAGAAATCATTGGGGAAGTTTAACTCCAATCCCAAAGCTCTCTTTATAGGTCAGGTTCTCAGTGCGTTCTGGGGAGGGCTTTAATCCGTTACGATCATTCCAGTCACAAGCAGATGAGTGCACACTGCTGCCTTGGGCCGGGCGACGGCTGCTGCAGTCAGAGCATTTCCAGGACGAGTCTCCACCGATGTGAACGAGCAGCAGGGAGTGGGAGCAGGGAGTGTGAGCGTGTGTGCCCATTGCTGCAGAGGAGCTGGGATGTGCTGTCACTGCGTTGGGCGCAGGGCTGGGAGGGGTGGAGGGGTCTGACTGGTGGTGCAGACACGCTGGGGTCAGGGACCCCACCGAGCCACGCAGTGGCAATGCTGTGGTGTGCTGGGGGCTGGCAGAGGGCTGAGCAGCTGCCAGGAGGGTCATGGTGCTGGGTCAGGGCTGCGACGTGCTGGGGGGACCTCTGTGTGTGGGTGGCACATGGGATGGATATCCCTCCCACCTGTCTGCCGAGCGGGGCAGAGCCAGCCCGAGCACAGTGCGCTGTCTGCTCGATTCCATAAGATTGCCAGCTTCTTTCTCACTTGTTTACTGTAATATCGGGCGTGTTTTTATTTATCTAATTTTATATTCAGTTATAACCATAGTAGGTTAGCTAATATACGACAGGTGTCATCCCTGGTGCTGCAGTGGAACTTCTCCTTTCTCTTGGATAACATGATGCTGTGAGTCTGTCTCCCCCGTCTTTTCAGATGCACAGTCTTCTTCCTTTTTTTTTTTTTTCTTTTTCTTTTTTAGGACTGTTACAGGTTTCTCTAATTCACAATTGAAATCAGGTGTTTGTTCAACCTAGGGGAGACTTTTAAAATATTGAATCAAAGAGTTAACTTTCTCACACTGTCTGGCTGTGAGCATGTTGGGATGGAACTTGTCACCCTGCAGTTGGGTGTCTGTATACTGTATAAAATTAGGTGTAAACTTCGCTCGGCTTAGCCCTGGGTGTGCAGCCTCCCCTTCCATGCTACGAGCAGCACGGGGCAGGCAGGCTCTGCCCTGCAGGGCGGCAGGAGGGGGCCGGGGGAGCTCCGTGCCCAGGCACCGGCATCTCTGGTCACAGCGGGGCAGGAGGGAGGGACCCTGGAAAGCTCTTGGAAAGGTGGGGGCTGTAGCTTCTTACTCTAGTGGAGTTTTTACACCGTGCTGTAACATTTGAACTTTCACAAGAGATGTAATAATTTTGATAATAAAAATACTTAACTCGAAAACCAGCGTTTCTGAAATTCCCTGCTTTTCCCACCGCCCTGAGTGCTGTGCAGGTGTGTGTTGGTGTTCCCAGCTGCCTCCTGCAGGGCGGCTGTGCGATGCGGCTCCCGCTCCTTCCCAACCTTGTGCTCCCTTCTGTGCCCGTATTTCAACCAAAGTCAGGTGCTGTGCTGCACTGGGGAGCCCCAGTTGTTGAGGAGAGGGCAGTTCCCAGAGGTTCCTGGCTGTGAAAAATGTTCTGTGCTGAGCTTGGTAAGAGGACAAAAGCTACGTTTGGGGAAGAGGCAATTGGTGGAGGATTGTCCCAGCATTACCTTCTTCAGAGCCCGTTTTGGGGCTTTTGTTTGGTGCTTTTGACCTGCGTGCAGTTTTCTGGTGCACTGACGCCCAGTTTTACCATCGCTTGCCTTTTCCTGAGCTGGGCCTGGAGTGAAGCCACACTTCGGCTGGGAAGCGTGAGGTGCCCGACACCTCCAGTGTTTGTCCCCGCACAGAAACTGTTCTTTGACGCCTCGCGGCGCAGCAGCCATCAGGGCAGGTCCTTCAGCCGCGTCCAATCTCTGCGCTCCCCTGGCAGCACCAACCCTGCTTCCCCGCCTGCTGCTGACCCCGACCCTCAGCCCGGCGGGGCAGGGCAGACCTTCCCCCGCCCCCCGCCCGTCGTTGCAGCCGGCGCAGGTCCCGCTCCCCACCACACCACGGGGCTCAGAGCTCGTCTGTTTGAATTATATTTTTCAATAAGGTTTTGTGAAACACCGTATCAAACTTTGTACTAAAATACAGATATATTACAGCTACTGTATTCCTTTCTCCACTGATTTTCTTGGTTTTCCAATTCAGCGATGGGCCGCGGGGCGATGGCGGGCAGCGGCTGCCGGCGGAGAAGCGCCGATCCCCGCCGCATCCCGGGCTCCCTGGGCTGCCGCTCGGCGTCCCGGCACGGCTCGGTCCCTCGCCGCCACCCCGCGGGGCCTCAGGGCGCGACTTACCGGCTCCGCCAGCCCCGGCAGCGGGTCCCGCACGGCCCTTCATCGCCTCATCCCCACGGCGATCGCCCGGCTCCGCGTTCCCACCGGCGGCCCCGTTCCCGTTCCCGTTCCCGTCCTCGCCCTCCCAGAGCCCCACCCGCAGCCGGGTGCCCCTGCCAACGGCCCCCGGCTACCGGCACTGAGACGCGGCCGCTGCTGAGGACTTTATTGCATCGTGAGGGCTGCGGCGGGCACCCGGGGAAGCCCACGCGCCGGTCTGGCCAGCAGAGCCGCGGCCGGGCTTCGGCTGCCTGTGCCCGTGACCGAGTCCTTCGGCTGCCCCGTGCCGGTGAGCCGCGGCCGGGCACGTGGCTGGGACAGCGGTGCGAGCCGAGCCACGGGTGGGAGCCCGCGTGGCGGGGAGAGCCTCGCTGTCACCAGTGGAGATAAAGCACCGTATGGGGATGGGGAGGTTTGGCAGCGGCTGGGGCTGGACGAGGGGGGTTTCCTCCTGCACCCGCCCGGGGGGGTTTTGTATTTCCGGCTGCTCCCACTTACCGGGGCTTACATTCAGCGGTGGTGCGAATCGGGCGGCGCGGCGGCCGGCGGCAGCGAGGCCCTTGCGGTCCCCACGCTCAGGATGGAGCGAGCGGCAGCCTGCGGCCCCGGCAGCACTGGAAAGCACGCGGTCCTGGGGCTGCGCTGCCGGGCGGGGGGGGGGCGAGAGGGCTCGAGTCACTTTACCCTGTTTAGAGAATATTAATTTACACGTAAAAGTACGGGCGGGCCCCATCCCAGCCACGGGGCTCCCCGGCCATGGAGACAGGATCACGAAGCTGTACAAAATGGGAGCGGGGAGGGTGCTGGGGCCCGGAGCAGCCAGCGCAGGGCGTCACGGGGCGCGCCGGGGTGGGAGGTGGCGGGTCCGGAGTCCTGGGGATGTAGAAATCTGTTTAAAAACTTGGAGACTGTTTGTTTTTTTTTTTTTCCTTGAAACAAAACTGCCGTTCTCAGATGAAGCAGGTTTGGGGCATCCTCCCTCGACGGCGGCGGAGGTGCGGGGCCGGTGGGGTGCGTGGGATGGCGGTGTCAGTGTGGACGTGGGCGCGGCAGGCGGCCGGCACGGCCCCGGTGCGAGCGGTGGGGCCCGGAGCGCTGCGTGGCCACCGGCAGCAGAGAAAGGCAGGACAGGGAGGGAGCGCCCAGGCTGCCGGCCGCGGGATGAGGTCCTGCTGCGGGTGCTCGGCCTTATATCCTCTGCAGGGAGAGCACAGCGCGTTGGGTACAGGCGCCCGGGGGTGGTACCGGGTGGCTGCAGTCATTTGTGCCATACACGTGCATGCCTCAAACCTGCCACCCCCACTTATTGCCCATCCACATGGGGCCACCCAGCACGGTCGCACCCAGACATGCCACGCAGGAGGAGGGGACGGGATGCTGAAACTCAGGACTTACCGCGGTGCCGACAAAATCTGTCAAAACACAAAGAGAAAGCGTCAGCGGTGCAGAGCCACTGAGGAGGGGCTCGGCCGCCCGCACCCTCCTGTCCCAGCCTGGTCACTGCTTGGGCTTGCCCCGTGTTTCAATGGCCCCAGAGGCTCAGCAGGACCCTCCTGTGGCCAGACTGCAGTACGGGGTCCCCACCACCACCTTGTTGTGTTCCCACCCAGCAGCACAGCGCCCACCTTTGCTGTCTGTCTTGAGCTCCTCGTGCAGCAGGTCGTTCTGCCGGTTGCCGAGGACGAAGGCCAGGAAGGAGAGGATGAGGGCATTGAGGATGCCGATGATGGCCAGGATGTAAGCCCAGCGCACGGAGCAGTCGCCCAGGGAGTACTTCCCCGTCTTCTCCCCGCACATGTCCCGGATGGTCTCCGCATCCCAGCCGTCGGGGAAGATCATGCAGCCCAGCACCAGGCAGAGAGCTGTGAGGGAGAGAGCAGAGGGTGACGTGAGTGGGGAGGGGAACAGCGAGACAGGGCTCTGTGTCCCAGGACCTCGCAGGGTGAGCAAGAGTCACTGTGGGATGCAGGGCACATCCGGCATCCCGCTGTGCCAGGAGCTCACTGGGAAAAGGCAGGGCGCAGCAACCATCTTGTGCGCTCCCAGCAGCACGTCACACCCCCTGTCACAAGCAATTCCCTCTCCCCGCTTGTCCCCAGCCCGCCCTGTGTCCCTGAAGAACCTCTGCACATGCTGCCAACCCGACCTTTCCCAAATGCTGGCAGCGATGTGCTGGGAAATGCAAACAGAGAGGGATGATGAGGGGGTTCTGCTGCCCACCCTGCACACATAGGTGCTCAGAGACCTGCAAGAAATTCTCATTTTTCACTTAAAACAGCCTCTTGTCCCCCCTCTCCCTGCCAGCCCCAGCTGTCCACAGGGAATGTGTGCTCAGGGGATACTCTGGACCGGGAGAATTGGCGATGCTCAGCCTTTTTTGCAGCTACAGCATGGTTTTGTACTCCACCGTGCTCCCTTATCAGGGTCCTGTCAAATTCAATGGGCTTCGATATCTCAGCAAAATGGATGAATTGAAGAGAATTCAGCTGTGTGACTCAGGCCGCAGGCACAGAATGGCCGTGGGCAGGAGAACACTGCAGGAGGCACGCTCAGCACGTCTGGACATCATGGGGTGGCCCCAGAGTCGGCACAAAGCAGAGGA